CTACGACAGGCACACGGCCAGCTGCAAACTCGACGCAGAGCTCCGTCAGCTTCTTGCGTTCTTCGCGTGTCATGGTGGTGAATTCGCCTGTGCTACCGCCGGGCACGAGGCCATGCACGCCGGCGCCGATCAGGTGGTCGATGTGAGACTTAAGTCTTGCTGCGTCGATCTGGGTCTTGTCGTCTGTGAAGGGAGTGATCAGGGCAACCATAATGCCGTGAAGGGCGGGGAGTTGCTGTGTGACAGTCATGTTGGATGGTAGTGGTGATTGCTTGGTATAGCTAAGAAGAACGTGAGGATGGAAGGAGGGAGTGTCTGCTGGACTCATGAGTGAGTCTTGAAGCCATTTTTATTTCATAACGCGACGGGACTGCCTTCCCTTCCCACTACACTTCACGTCTATACTACACTGTTAATGATGTTCCTGGTCAATGGCGAAGCCCTAACTCTCTGGATAGCATGTTGGAGGGGTTCCAAGATATCCATGCCGGAACCACCTTCCTGTTTTGGCGATGCGGGTAACCCAACGGAAGGCAGTTCCGGCAAGCAGTGGGGAGGGCTTTAGCGCATCCACTGGCGCCAAATTATCATTGCGTCTCGACATCGATGAAGTGAGGGGTAATGGGGCGATCTTATCCTCGTTATCGCCTTATCGGAAGAGACAATTGCTAACTAGTGACAAACCTCAATTGCAAAGTGGGCTGCTCGGAGGCACATCCCACATCCGGAACAGGAAGTTCTAGCCAAGCAGCTTATATCAGAACAACATATCTGTCTTCGCGCTGCTTATTCCTATTTTCTGCAAGAGTTATTATCTTTCTACATTAAGACCCAGAAGAGACTATGGCAGACTCCCTCTTTGTCGACATCACCACCCCCAATGGCCGGCAGTACCAGCAGCCGACCGGCCTGTTTATTAACAATGAGTTTCGTCCTTCGTCAAGTGGCCAGACTATCGTGTCTTTAGATCCTGCGTATGCACCTTACATCTAAACTACTCTCAGCCTTCCATGCTGACTTCTACAGCACCGACAAGCCCATCGCCACCGTCCACGCCGCAACAGCAGAAGATGTCGACGCTGCTGTTCAAGCCGCCAAAGCGGCGCTATCACACTCCTCGTGGAAGCTCCTCCCCGCCACCGAGCGCGGACAGCTAATGGGTCGTCTGGCCGATCTGATGGAAGAGAACCGGGAGCTTTTTGCTGCTATTGATGCATGGGATAACGGTTCGTATAGCCCCCCTTGTCACCGCTGTGCGGAAACTGACTTGGCCAACAGGCAAACCCTACCAAGTCGCCCTAACCGAAGACCTCACCGAAGCCATCACCACCATCCGCTACTACAGCGGCTGGGCCGACAAGACCTTCGGACAAACCATCAGCACGACCCCCCAAAAGCTCGCATACACCATCCGCCAACCCATCGGCGTGGTCGGACAGATCATCCCATGGAACTACCCGCTCTCGATGGCGACGTGGAAGCTGGGACCCGCGCTCGCCTGCGGAAACACCGTCGTCCTCAAGGCTGCTGAACAAACACCCCTCAGCGTCTTGGTCCTCGCAACACTCATCAAGAAGGCCGGCTTCCCGCCCGGAGTGGTGAACATCATTAACGGCTACGGAAAAGAAGCCGGCGCTGCGCTGGTCCAGCACCCACTCGTCGATAAGATTGCCTTCACGGGCTCCACTGCTACCGCCAGAGAAATCATGAAGATGGCAGCCGGCACATTGAAGAACATCACTCTCGAGACAGGCGGAAAGTCGCCCTTGATCGTCTACCCGGATGCGGATCTTGAGCAGGCAGTTAAGTGGTCGCATTTCGGCATCATGTCTAACAAAGGCGAGATCTGCACTGCTACGTCGAGGATCTTCGTGCATCGGAGTATTCTCACTACCTTCTTGGAAAAATTCAAGGAGGCAATCGAGACGACTTCCAAGATCGGCGATCAGTGGGACGAGAATACCTACCAAGGACCACAGGTCACCCGGGCACAGTACGAGCGGGTTCTCGCCTACATCGAGACAGCCAAACAGGAGGGCGCTACGCTAGTCACCGGCGGCAAGCCCTATACCCCCAAGGATGAAAAGAACGCAAAGGGCTACTTCATCGAGCCGACAGTGTTCACTGATGTGACTGATGACATGCGCATCTGTAAAGAAGAGGTATTCGGGCCTGTTGTGGTGATTCTGCCATTCGACTCGGAGGAGGAATCGGTGCGTCGCGCCAACGATACCACGTATGGTCTGGGCGCTGCGGTCTTTACGACTGATCTGGAGAGGGCGCATCGTGTTGCTGCGGATATCGAGGCAGGTATGGTCTGGATCAATAGTAGTCAGGACTGTGATCCGCGGATTCCGTTTGGAGGTGTCAAGCAGAGTGGCATTGGGCGTGAGTTGGGTGAGGCGGGACTGGAGGCGTATTCGCAGGTTAAGGCGGTGCATGTTAATATGGGAAGTAGATTGTAGACTAGACTAGAAGGCAGTATGCTTTGATGAATAAATTATGATGACCTTTTCATGTTCTAAATAAGGTTGATTGTTTCTCTCTTATCGGAATTGAAATGGAAGTTTTCGTAGAAGCATGAACTTGAAGTAGTAGTAGTACTGCACAGACAGATATATATTCCTGGTACAACACGACCACCTCGTCAATTTCCTTGCTGAACTGGACCTGACTAGAAATACAAACTAGCAGGCCTATTCGTTCATTTTTATCAAAAGCGAAAATAACTGAAAAGTTGACAATACTTGTAGTAGCTAGTACCGGTAAGACTGTTCTCCATGGTGTGCGACGCTGCTCATCTAAATCCATGATGCAGTTAAAAATGGTGTTCTTCCGCAGGGATAAAGATTAGCAGTCGGGACTAGCCCCACTCTGGGTACCACCGGAAAAAAGCAAAAAGAAATTGCTGTGCATCATCCGTGAATCGAACACGGGCCTCATCGATGGCAACGATGAATTCTACCACTAGACCAATGATGCTGGTGCTTGTAATGCTTGGCAATTGAGTGGTCTAAGATCCAGTGGATTAGATGAGTTTTTACAACTCGAAAACAAGACGAAGTGGATTAGGATATTCAGATTATGGAATAGTTGGATCGTCTCTCTACAATTATAACCTCTCTAATGTATTTCGCTATAGTAATATCCAACATTCTTGAATAACTGCCAAGTAAGGAAGATGACAACTGCCTGCAAGTGAAACCCTTGCAGACATACATGACTTAATCTATGCCTCACATTATCCATCGCAGACTTCTACCAAACCTGACAAGAACACTAGGATTCTTGAACAAAGGAAGCATCCAAATCATCGCCGTCCACGCCGTCCACATCTTCCACGTGCGCCTATCGGCAACTCCTTCCCGAAGGAATAGGATCCTCCCAGCAATAGCCATTCCTAACGCAACCGGGAGAACATACCCGGGCACGTCCAGCTCCCAGAACGCAGGACAAACAACGGACCAGATCGCAACAGGAATCGCAACGGACCACCGGGCCGGCCCGTCGCCCAGTACAATGGGCATTGTGCGACGGTTCTTGGCACGGTCTCCTTCCACGTCCTTGACGTCTTGAATATGCATCGTCGTGCCGATTACGGCACTGGTGAGCCAGATCCACCGCCATGCTCTAGGGAGTAGGTCAAATCCGGTTCCGGTCGCGACACGCAGTGATCCCTTGTTGTATTGACTGAATGCGAGGGCTAGAAGGACATTCCGTAGGATGAAGCCGTTGTCACCACCGCCCAGGTCATTGTATACCCAGTTCATCGTGTAGAGGAGAGCGGTCTCCTCCCATGCACCGAGGTAGACGCTGAGTCCGAGCACAACTGGGATCGCGAGTAAAAGTAGCTGGCGAGTATGCAGGATGCTGATCCGACCTGCGGGCAGTGGTCTCCAGGGTCGGTTGATTTTGTCTTCTGCCACGGAGTCCGGGTGCCTCTGATTCGCCAGATTGAACACGAACAGGTTTAGCCAGTTCCATAGCATGACCATGGGTATCCGACAAACGACTAAGAGTAAGTGCGGAGTGTTATCATCTGTCAAAAGAGGCCCGGACAGAGCAGCGCAGATTCCGAATGCTGTTTCAGGAATGACAAATGTTGCAAAGTCGTCCGCAGTGAACAGCCAGATAGTCAGAGCTAGGTCTCTCCAGTACCATGCTTTCTATACAGCTGTGAGCTTTCTGGAGTCGTGAGCATACTAAAGATCACTCACATTATAAACCCTTGTATCGCTGTGTCTTGTCTTTACGACATCGCTTTTAAGTGAAGCACTTGCAGCGCCAAGTAAAGAAGTGCAAATCTCGTAGAAGCGAGAAAAACCAACAAGATCCATTTTTTTCTGCATTTCAGAGTTTAGTCCGTTTCCACAGCAGAGAGATGTCTGCGTTAATATCTGAAGGGTATCTTGGGGTAGGACCAGTCTCGGATGCGTCGCACCCTTATATATCTGGAATCAAATCATGTCAAGATTGGAGTCGGCACTACAATAGCCTCAGAGTTTACCTTTCAGCTCCTGTCTGCGAAATTTTTGCAGTGGCTGGCTGTCTGGATCATCAGCTAAACCTACGACCAAAGCCGACGAGCTGGTGTATGATACCAATTTAAGCAAAACGACGAGGTTTTGGTTATCCTTGCCGATGGCGCCCTCTTCATACGGGTTGTAGCTGAACCGTTGCACAGCTGAATAACGCCACATATGGTCTTCTCAGACGGGCGGAACATAGCGCCGAGGTGGCTTTTTCATTCTGTCAGACAATATTCACCAGTGAAATCAGTTGAATCCTCGGACTCAGTTGCCTGCGCCGTCTGCTGCAAAAGGCCAAGGTCTTGACGGCAAAAGTGGTCATTCGAGCCGATAGGCGGGAGGTGGCAATAGAACAACAGTGTCAGCACTAGCGTTGCGTCCTGATGCCTGACAAGATTGATCACTTATTCGACCTGATTGAAGCAATGCTTTGTGGCAGAAATGTGTAGCACACACTGTATCATCGAGTGTTTACAACATTGCCAGCCAACCAACTTTTAGCCGTCGCATCAAAGGTACCCTCATCTTCGACGCTCGCGCCAGGCTTGTGCCTTTCTGCTCCCTCAGAAGCCGTCCAATATCCATATAGCTCTCCACGGTTGCCCGAAGTGGCCCTCTTACACCGCGAGGTAGCTCTTCAATTGCCCCTCGGCTGATCTGATAATATCTGTCTGCTTTCTGCAGCATTCTCTCCTGCAGGCCATACATGATGGGGATATTAGGACACTCAAATACATCTCCTGGAGTAAGGCCTACTTCGTCCAGCCACGTTGTAGGAATATATACTCGGCCAATTGTGGCATCGCGATGGATATCACGTGCAATATTGACACACTGCATGGCTTTGCCCATCTTCTTCGCCGCCCCTTTCAACAGCGGGACATCTTCCGTATAGTCATGGCCATGATGGAATATGATAAGGTCGAGAACTAGTGCACCCACCGTGCCAGCTACAAAACCTGCGTACTGATCAAGGCAAAAGTCCGATTTGATCGGGAAAGTTCCTGTCTTGGAATCGAATGCCAAGTCGATTTCGAACCCCCTCAGCAAGTCATAGAAGAAGTTCTCAGTTAAGCGGGAGAGAGGAAGGTAGCTGATCGATTGGTACAGTCTCTCATATTTCTCCCCTTGTTTAGAAGCATGATAAGCGTCATGAGGTAGTCGGCCGCGATGGCTTAAGTCTAGGAGGTATCTGCACTCTGTGATCCAAACATTGGCTTCCTGATCATCTTCAGCTTCGTCAATGAGATCATCCATGACGCGGCAGAATGAGTACCTATTCATATTAGTTGAATGAACCACGCATGGGTTTGAGGGGTAATACAAGAATATGAGATCAATGCGTAGATGACCCTGGAATAATGCGCTGCCGAGAAACATGCTCTGACTCTTCTCCTGCAGACGATATACGGCCTGGGACAATGCAGATATGAGAGATTCGTCTATAGAAGGTGGACTGCATAATAACGACAGAGCTGTCCTGAGCGTGGTGCCCTTGTCTGCTGCTGGCCGCGATAGGGACTTGTATTCTTGGAGCGCATATGCGTAATCGATCCCAATTAGTCCTAACACAATCATCATATTGGTGACCAGAAAGAATAGTGCCTCTCTGTTACTGTTAGATTTGATGTCTAAAGATCACAGGTGGGTTTGACTGACTCAACGTCTATACCGCCGATCTGATAACCCAAATTTGTGCCACTCTCTATCCTCCAAGTTCCAAATTCCATAGCACTGAAATCTGCAACCCAGAGGTATAGCGTGGGCAGGCAGATCGCGGCGATTGTGGGTTTGCTGGGAAGTCCAATAAGAAAAGGATGGGACAGCATCCTGCATTCTCGCATGAGCATTTCAATAGATTCAGGGTAGACCGACCTTACCACTGGAATAGCAGGATTGGACAGACCCAGACCAAGATCAGGCCCAGGTAAGTCATATGCCGTCTCAACAGCAGGCACGCTGTTCCACCACCCGTCAATGTTAAAATGACAAAAGCTACCACATTTCTTGTTCTACGTCTCTCCAGATGCGATCGAAGGTACATGGGTCGCACAAGTGGCTTCGTGAAGATACAGTATGCCACACTCGTGATGTAGGTTTGTATGGCAAAAAAGAAAACCTCCTCAACCGGAATATCAAGTATTTTGTAACCGACTACTGCGTCGGGCGGATACGTCCAGATAGCACACCGTATCAGGTAGGAATCCCATGGGATTGTTGCGATAATGGCAATCTGTCAGTCCAGGGAAAATCAGATCAAAGGTCCTTCGCTTCAAGGTACGGTCGAGGTACCGTAATCAGAATGCATATTTTGCAACGGTCTTGCGCGGTGAAGAATGGGTAGTAGAGCACCGTCAGTGCCGATGCAGCAGGAATAGTGTAAGTGCAATGACTAGCATGCTTTGGATTAGCAGACGCAGAAAAGAGATCCGTAGTAGAGGCGCCTCTTACAAGAAAATATAGTCGAGTCCCATTTTGCTTCATGTTCTCTAGCACTCCCGTGTGACGAGCCCTAAAAGTGTGGAACATATATCTGGAAAAGGGCGTTCGGTCCCCTTTGCAAGGTTCAGCCGAATCCTGTTTCACTACACCAGCTTCCGGATGGAAACCGGTTGCGGTTGCGTCTAAGCTTCATGTGGATGAGAAAGTTTGTTTTGTGATGCTAATTGCCCCACTGGAATGCAGGTTAGAGTTGAGAATGATTACCTGGATGAATGCCAAATAGCTTAGAAATTGTCCACCCGCTGTCAATTGCATATTGGAGATGCCTTCACTGGATATCCAATGGACAAACCAGAATGATGGTAATGCGTGAGGCTTTGACTTATTCTGACTTCATAACGGGAGTATAGCTAATCGGGGTATTGATCGGCGCATGAAACAGTGACCGACTAGTCTTTGACGACATATTGAGCTGTGGTGTGAGTACTTAGGAAATTGGATAAGACTGCAGTGGGGGAACCCAAATAGGGAAAGGGTAGTACTTAGTAGTTGATAGTATTACTAGATAAGGCGGACTCCCCCCACTCTTCACCGTTGGGTATGCTTTCACTTTCAACACAATCTGACTGCATTGACTGCTTAATGTAAATACCTTTGGATAGGTAATGCTCCGAACGCTTTAAGTTCATTGCTTCATATATTCAGATAAACCACTACCAAGCCAGCTCTGATCTGGCAATACAGCTCGCCGCTTCCAGCTGAGAACAGAACTTTTCCTCCTCTGCCAGCTTCCCCGTCCTCATCTCCCCTGTCATCTTGGGAACAGCTGGCCAGATTTCTTCCCCGCCTTGGGCCTCTTCTTTTCGCCGGTGCTCCATGACCATGGCTCTCACATCTTCTTGAAAATGGATGGGCCCCTGCCAACAGTCAGCTCTACCCATTCTCACGTTCCTTCTTTCAGTGTCAAACATACCTTCTCCTTGTCTGGGTGAAGCTCGCCATTGATAAACACACCCGCGCTCAAGTTTTCCTGTGCTCCAACACAGAGATCTTTGTCTTCCTCTAGGACTTGTCGGTAAAACGCGTTAATATTAGCAAACTCCTCATCCGTCGCATTTCGGTGTCGATAGACTTCGTTTTCGATCTTGCTGGTCGTCGCGCTAACTGGGATCATGCGTTGAATGTAGAAGAATTTATCCCTGCTCGTGTTAATTTATCCTCGACCCCTTCCATTCGGATACAAACTTACGTGACTGTGACCGATGTGGTTGGGTAAAAGTATGTGATTGACCTCCGGAACTGCGCATCGATATTGTCTTTGTTGAAGATATGATGCTCCATATACCTCGCCTTAGGCTCGACCCGGTACCGAGGAAGATCCGACACTCCATTGATCAGGGGATGTGAAGTCGCGCAGTGATAACATTCATTGTAGTTCTCGACCAGAAGCTTCCAGTTTGCCTCCACATCCATCTCCCAGTAATGGTCAAAGGTGTATTCCCCATCGAAGTCAAAGTCTTGCATCCGCGGTTGCTCATCGATCTTCTGGAAATCATCGTCCCACTTGACCTCCGGGTCGCCGGCCTCTAAATTCACCCAGATGAAACCCGCTTTATCGAAATGTACATGGATGGGGAGGAGTCCATGTTGGCTTTTGTCGAAGCTTGATACGGTCTCGAAGCGAGGTGCCTTTGATAGGTTGCCCTTCAGTCCGTAGGACCAGCCGTGATACTTGCAGCTGAGGATAGAGGTAGTTCCGGACCGAGCTTGGACAACCGGGTATGCGCGATGTCGACAAATGTTGTGGAATCCGTTGATGTTGCCGTCGCGGTCTCGTGTCAGGAAGAAGGAAAAGTTAGAGATGGTAAAGGAAAGAAAGTCACCAGGTTTGGTAAGTCGACTGGAATGTGTGAGTAACACCCAACGCTTGGAGAAGATGGCTCGCCGCTCCAGCTGATACATGGCATCAGAGCGATACCATGATGCCGGAAGGCTCCGAGGTGGAGAGCTTTTCTCTGGGGTGTTGGAGGACCGGCCAAGTAATCGCCACATCGTGATGGAGTTTGTGAAACAAATTGTTGAGGTGGCTCAGAGGAGAGCTCAGATCATCACAGTGCCTATATAACAGAGCAGCGCTGGTAAGTGGGGTCTTGGTTCGGCGTTGTAGCATCAAAGATGGGGGCGTTGGTAGCTCGCCCGAGGACACCACTGATAAGCCATTGGATAAGGATCACTGGCTTACCTGTCACATCTACCTGCTGTCCAGCCGTTCTCATCCAACTCAGAGAAGAAGAAAGAAAACCATGGATGCTAATCCTCCTTTGCTCACTGGTCGCTGCTATATATCGTCCCTTGGGTACAAATGGGGGCTTACGAACCCCTTGACACTCCCCGATTTACGTCTTTAAGTAAGTTCTAAGCTCCAGTTTATTACATGCTATCTATTATATGTATCAGTCGTTCCAGTCGTATCTAGGCTAGATCCATTCTTCTATCCCAGTGTCGAGTCTTTTTCTTTTTTCCGGCTAGCCCGGCCGTCACTAACCCAACTCACATTTTGCTCGTATTCCGCAGTTTCCTGAGCAAGAACGTCGCTGCTCCAATCAAAACAGACCCTAATATCCCACAGCAAGCACCAAAAAGTTGCAAGCCGGAATAATCCGTGTAGTTCTGCTTTTCGAGAATGGCGCCCATGATCGGCAATCCAGTTAGACAGCTGCCAAAGTTAGCAGGAAACTAAATGTGCTTGAGAAACCTGATACTCACCTCACTGACATGATCAGCTGGAATGTTCCGAATCGCTGACCCAGGGTCTGCAGATCCCCCACTTTGGCAACACATGGCATCATGAGAGAGACAACAGCGCCACTGACAAAGCCATAGACCGCCGCGAATACGATGATTCCTGCATGAGAAGGGTGGTAGTTGAAAGGAAGCCATAGACAGAGCATTGACACGCCGGTGCCGAAGCAGCAGAGTGTCAGGACGTTGAAGTGACCAAAGACATCTGCCAACTGAGGCGGGATGAGACGCCCGAATATGGAGGCACCACTACATTTCTCGGAGTCAGCACTGAGATTTGCGAAAGAAAGCATCGCGCAATCTTACTTGATAATGGAAATAAGATAGAGAGCAAGAGTCGATGAAAATCCCGCGTTCTCCGCCATGCTGGAAAGATAGTCGAACGGAGCCCAGAGTCCCCACCTGTCACTGTCAGTCAATAAACAGGGTCATCGATTGGAATATTGACGAACATAATGAAGAATGCACCAGCGGTGTACAACCCAAATGCGGTATCCTTCAGCAGAGTCAGGTCGATCCACGCTGCTTTACCGTTCCACTCCTTGCGTGGGAGACGGCTGCGGACCAGCAGGCAGGCTACTGCCAGCATGATTCCGACGAATAGCGCGGTATACCGAACGGCACCATAGAAGCCGATGTCGTTGATGACCCGGTCCAGAAAGATCGGAAAGATAACACCCCCAAGTGAACTTCCAGATACAGCAATGCCAGTTGCAAGACCTCGACGACGAACAAACCATTGGCCGACGCAAATCATGGCCGAAGTGAAAACACCACCTGCGCCGATGCCAAAGCAGAGGCCTTGCGCAAGAAAGATCTGGTAATACTCATGCGCCAGGCTAGTCATACAGAGTCCTAGCACGCACAGAATGCTGCATGGCCAAAGGACCGGGATCGGGCCGTAAGTGTCAATTATGCGACCCCATAGTGGTCCCGGTGCCCACATGAGGGCCAGCTGCACGGCGAAAATCCATGAGATGTCGGACGCATCGTAGTCTTTGAGTGACGTCTGCTGGTATGTTGTTTGGAAGACACCGATACTGTGATGAGATCAGTACGGAGTATAGGGAACATTTTCAGCCCATGAATACATACGCATTTAGGAACCCAAAGGAGGAGAATAGGGCGCAAAAGCCTCCAGCCACAGTCAGCCAACCCTTGACCCCTTCTTCGGGCGGAATGGTTGGCTCCTCTACCGGCTGGTTCTTTGGCTGGGACATGTTTGTCTAGCCCAGAAGTCCGAAGCAGATATTGTTCTAATATATGTTCGCAGCCCTTCTCGATTATTTAGGGATGCATGAGGCGTATTACAAATTCTGGGGGAAAAAGCCTCCACCGGGCCCCGGACAGTGATTCGGTCTACGACTGGCTAAGTCCGACCGAACAAATGCGGGCGCTAAGATAAGTATCTGGGTTTCGATGAGAAGCTTCGTCTCGGGCCTTCGGCTCTCGTTATGTCCGATGGGGCCGACGCGACAAGGATCTTGCTCACCAAAGTCGCGCTAATTATGCGAACATTTGTCGCATTGGGCATGAAATTGGCCGTGTCATTGCAAAGACAAGTGCGATCTGAACCAGTTAACCTTACAAGTCTATTATTATCAAAGGAGTATATGAGCTGTGTAAATTAGTCGGACGTGGAGCCTAGGGCTGGATTGAAATCAACCGGGGGTATTCAGCTGAAGAGCAATGGTCATTCCCCTCCGTTCGCGGCCAGCTAATGCCCCACAAAGAGGCTGTGAGCAAGCCACACCAGGGAACCCTGGCCAGAAGACTCTTGAACCCATTATTTGGGATGATGCGGCCCACATGGTACCCACAGTGCTGTAAACTCTGATGCCAACTGCCGGATCCAAGTACTGAGCCATGAACTTCATGGACTACTGCAAGACGGGCCCAACATTGGGACTTGTGTATGCGACACTTGACCAAGAATGACAGCAGATAATAATAATAATAATAATAATTATAATTGATATTCCCTCAACGGTTAGTCTCCAGGCTGATCGAAAGTCACCTTCTGTCCACACTGGATGTTTGCGGATCGAGGATCGACTTGGGCATCAGCTTTGCTCAGGTCATAGCTTGGAGGTTTCTTGTCGGAGAATTTCGGATATATCCGAAACGTCTGCTTGCAGCTGCCACACCGACATGAAAAAGGCATGTCTCATTCATCGGGCTATCCCCCATCGCAAAATTGATGACGTGAACAGGATGTTACCCTCACCAATCAGACGGCAGAGAGGCCTGATGCTTTCCCGATGATCGTCAAGCGAGTTCCCTGGCCGATGCCATCCTCCCCGATGGACAGCCATGATTCATCCGTCGGATGGGACAGCTAGTCCGCTGGACCGAGCAACTTCAGGAACAGATGTAAAGCTTGACAGCCCCGTCTACAAATAGTGCAGGCTTTGGTTTCGTTGAGCGTGCTTGAGTTCTTTTGGTAGAGGGACAGTCATCAGACATGCACGTTACGAAGATCCCCTGGCATTTGGTCGCATCAAGGTGCAGTAGTCAGGCTAAAAGACTCCTTAGTGCTTGCGTGGGTGTGAACATTGTCCAAGATCACCACAGGCGGTATCTAGCAGGGGTTCAGCCGAACAGCCCCATGGCTATATTTGGCAGGGAGCATCCTTGTCGACTTGCATAGATGTAGCTGCCTGGGACTTACGAGTTCCAGCTGCGCAGTTGTATGGGTGATCATCGCTCGAATCCTGTGCCAGCCACGTGCTTAAGGACAAGCCGCGTTTCCAGCAACCTTCCTTCCCACTGCTCCTTAGTAGTGCGGTAAGTGAATCTCCATTAATCTTTCCATATCCCCGCCAAGATCGGGCTTTCTGAATGTTTGATCTTTTGAATGCGACCGGGCGAGAGGGGTAACTAAACAAGTGGCAGATCAACCGTGAAATCGAGAATTCGATGGTTATCCCGCCAGTTATACCTAGCTGAGCAGACTTGGAAAAAGACATAGCAAAGTCAGAACATGGTGAGATTAAACTGTGCGCCCTAATGGTGAAGGGACACAATAGCAGATTAGCAACAGCTGTTGTCACAGACGCTATAGAAAGACTGAAACAAGTCTGAGAAGACATCTAGTCCTTTTGGAAACAACAAGGTTCCCCTATTACACACAATCAATACTTTCTTCCAGGGCATTACCAGGATGGCCACCGTCTTTTATAGTAGACAGTCACTCATGATCCTAATGGTGGACCGAGGCCAGGCCGGGGCATATAGCCGACCCCAGAGCAGCCGCGCCCCCACGGTCGGCGATGTTCTCCGGTCGGGGATGCCCTCAAAAAGCCGGGGTTATCCCCACGAAGAATCCCAATCAATCTTACAACCACCACCATGCCTACCACTCGTCCCATTGTCCGCGCGGCATGCCATAACATCTCAAGCATCCGGCATGCTTCCACGAACACTGCCAAAAAGGCAGGTCCCCTGGCTGGCATCACCGTCGTCAGTCTGGAACAAGCCATAGCCGCACCCTTCTGTACCCGTCAATTAGCCGACCTAGGAGCCCGAGTCATCAAAGTCGAACGACCCGGTGTCGGGGACTTCGCCCGCAACTACGACACCCGCGTTAATGGATTAGCCTCCCACTTCGTCTGGACCAACCGGTCCAAAGAGAGTCTCGCCTTGGACCTCAAAAAGCCGTCCGATCACAGCGTGCTAATGCGCCTGCTCGGCCGCGCTGATGTCCTTGTCCAGAACCTCGCCCCGGGCGCCAGTGCCCGGCTGGGATTATCCTACGCGGATCTCAAAGCCGCTCATCCTTCCTTGATCGTGTGCAATATCTCCGGGTATGGTCCTGACGGACCATATCGCGATAAGAAGGCTTATGATCTGCTGATTCAGAGCGAGGCCGGCATGCTTTCCGTCACGGGGACTGGGAAAGAGCCGGCTAAGGTGGGCATTTCCATCGCTGATATTTCCGCCGGTAGCTATGCCTACTCGAATATCCTGGCGGCGTTGTATCAGCGAGAGAGGGATCCCGCGAAGAGAGGTTGTAATATTGATATCTCGATGTTGGAGAGTATGGTCGAGTGGATGGGATTCCCCATGTACTACACCTATGAGAATGCCCCGGGTCCGACACCTGCTGGTGCTTCGCATGCGGCTATTTATCCGTATGGGCCGTTTGAGACGGGTGATGGGACGGTGATGTTAGGGATTCAGAATGAGCGCGAGTGGGCCAAGTTCTGTGACATTGTATTGGGTCAAGCTGATTTGGCTACGGATGAGCGGTTTGTGAATAACTCGCTGCGGTCGCAGAACAGAGATGAGCTGAAGAAGATCATCTGCGATGTCTTCTCGTCGCTTTCTGCGGAGCAGGTCATTGCTCGCCTGGATGAAGCGGCGATTGCGAATGCCAGCGTCAATGACATGCAAGGCGTCTGGAACCATCCTCAGCTCAAAGCCCGGCAGCGATGGACTAAAGTTGAGACTCCGGCGGGGACTGTGCCAGCTCTGTTACCTCCTGGAATGACCATGGGTGATGCGGATACTTATGGGGCGCGCATGGATGCGGTCCCTGAAGTGGGTGAGCATAACAAGGCGATTCTGGCTGAGTTGGGGCTCGACGAGGGTACGGAGAAATAGTGATAGATAAGTTAGACTATGTACAAAGGGGCTACTAGACTTGGCTATACCTACGAATGTTGGAACTTTAATTCCTTGTTGATACGTAAGATAATTGGCTGGTGTTGCCACTCAACGGTTAGAGGTACGTAGACTGCATACTGATCAGAAGTTAGAGCCAGTGGGTCGCATCATGAAATTTTCACTCAATCTCTATTCGAAACAAACTACTGCTACGAATTGTTACAATTTCTCACTGGGGCAGGTTCAACCTGTCCATGAATATCGGCACCATATCCCCATCGCCGAAGCAGGTGGATCGGGAAAGCAGGCAAAAAGCCGACATCCTCGCCAAGACCGAGGTAGCATAAAGCCGCTTTTATCCTCGACTACGGCCGGCTACTTGCATTCTTCCCTAGTCACCTCATGAACTCCACTGCGGATGATCTCTCTTTCAATAGTAGCCTGGAACTAACTCCAGAATCATGTCCAGTCAGGAGGCCTCAGGTCACCGACAGGTGAAAACCAGAGCCAAACAGGCTTGTCTCCACTGCAACCGGCGGCGAATCCGCTGCAATGTGCTACAGATGCGCCCATGTCAGAATTGTCTCTCGTTGAACGTGCCCTGTGAGATAGGCGTTTCGAAGCGAGGAAAGTATGCTTTCCTTATTCTCAATGTGGCCGTGGGACGTAGACTGATTCATGGCATAGATATCCCCGTAAGAAGACTGCCCGGCAACATGCTATGTCACAAACTGCCGGCAATTCGGTCCAATTGCCGACATCATCGGGGAAAGGAAGAAGCCATTCCTCAACGTCGCCATCGGGTGATAAACACGAAGAAAGAGAGCCGCATGTTCATCCGATGTCAGGGGATGCTGCCAGTGCCCACCAGACGGTGTTCTTTGGCGAATCGAGTCCACTCACTGTAGTCATTGACGAAGGGCGCCGATCGCCTGAGAAGGGGAGTGGTGAACTGCATATGACTCGCTTTCACTATCCCATTCCAGAGAAGCTCAACGCTTTCAATACGCGAGATGAGGCTTTTCGTGCACACAAAGCCAAGAAGGAAGACCAGCTTAGAGCTGACGGGGCCTTCTTGTACCCCCCGCCGGAGACATGTGCCATTCTTCTGCGGGCGTACTTTGACTGGTTTCATCCCTGTTTCCCGATCCTTGATCGTGCTGCTGTGTATGAGGGCTATGCACAAGGGAGCTTGTCGCCCCTGCTCCTCCAGGCTATGCTATTCATTGGCGTAAGCCTTTGCACGGACGAGGCGTTTGCCCAGACGGAGTTCCCCGTTCGATACTGGGCGAAATTCCTTTTCTACAGCCGAGCAAAGGCGATCTATGATGCGGAATGGGAGTCCAATAAGACGGTCAAAATTCAATCGTTGTTTCTGTTGAGCTTCTGGCGTGGAGGTCCTTCTGAAGAGCGGGACATTCGATTCTGGCTAGGCATTGCCATTGACTTGGCTCAAAAGCGCGGCATGCATTTGATGTATGTATCTCTCTATTGCTCCATGCCATCCGCTAATCCAATCAGGTCTAAGTTTTCTTTTGGTTCCGGTCGAGAGGCAGGGCTGTGGAAGCGAATCTGGTGGTCGCTTTACGTATGTCTCCTCTCATAAACTTGTTGTCAACACTAACCGTTGCCAGGCCCGAGACCAACAAAGCGCCGCAGCACTTGGGCTTCCGCCGCACATCCGCGACGAAGACTGCGATGTCACCATGCTTGAGCCAGATGATATCCGGGAGGAGGTAGCAGGAGGACAAGGTCTTTTTGGTGTGCAGTGTATAGAAGATCTCCGTTATCCAGCCGAGATGGCCAAGTTGGCCAAACTATGTATGTCCGAACCTCCCGACTTTGAATCTTTGCTTACCGTTCAGTGCGTTCTATTGTATCAACCCATTATTCGCCGGTATCATCGTCATCCAGCAGCACGTCACAAGCGGTGTTGCATAAGCAACTGGTGGATTGGGAATCCGATATGCCTCCTGAGCTGAAGCTCGAAAACGCCACAACTCCGCGAGCCAGGTTCCTGGCGGGACTTTTACAAATGACATACCAGTAAGCAACATGCATTTGACTCGAATTGACTCCCCTGACTGGTTAATGTCTAGAAATCTCTATGTCTTGCTTTACCGACCGTCATTTCTTAATCCACCGGATGGTAACTTGGACAGCCAAGGCCAGATAGCCTTGGATGCTGCGACCAAAAGCACACGAGTATTGGAGGATATGCTTTCCCATAACTTGGTCCAACATGGACCTCCACATCTGTAAGCCTCCTTCGATAATCCATACAGGTATCAAGCTGACCACGTAGAATCACCCACGCGTTTTCAACCCTCTGCATTCACACCATCGAGTTCCGTCGCTCATCTGGTACAGGTCGCAAACTGGCGGAACACCGAGCCAGACTTTGTCTCTTGAGCCTACAGGAGCTGCAAAAATCCTGGGACTTGGAGAACTGGGTATTAAACCTGTTCTTCCGATGTTTGGATGATAGCACTGCCCGTACTCTGCGACCGGTCGATGCCACTGCTCCTCTCCCAAAGACCGAAGCCCGCGAATTTGTCCCTGCCACCCCAGATGCTTTTCCTGCTCTCAATATGAACCCAGAGGGACACACGCTCGACGCACCTTGTCAATCGGCGCACTCGCAATATCCCACTGGTGATATTAGCGCCCCCAGTGATTGGTACGGGCTGTTCAATTTTGCCGAGGATTATACCGACATTTCGGGGATGATTCCCAGCCACGATCCGTCTATAAATCTGCAGAATTTGGAGTTTCTCTACCGATTCTTATGACGAAATCTGTCCCACTTGAAAAGTCTGCACAGTCAATGGCGGCGACCGCACTTTTCCCAACATAGTCAACAAGTTCAGCTCGGGGGAGGATCGTCTTGGCAGAGTTTGGTACTCGATCGCGCTAAGCGGGCAAGGCGTGGAGCATCGTCCGCGTGCGAGTCAGTCAGCTCACTCCCTGCCGAGACCAGGCTAATCCCGTATTAATTCCTGGCTTCCCCTCTTCGTCAGATCACCTCAACTTCATCTTTCATTAAATTTTATCTTACGGCATGTTTGGTGACTTCCCCGTCGACAATAAGATCGTCCTGGTGACGGGAGGAGGATCCGGTGAGGCCCCAATCCAACCCTCACTTCAACCCTTCTCCACATCACACTAACGCACCACTCAGGGATCGGATTGCAGCTCTGCCGCCAGGCCGCCGCCAAAGGCGCCCGAATCATCATCGCCGATCTGCGCCTCATTCCCGAAGCCCAACAATTTGTTGACAGCTCCGACGCCGTCATCTTCCAGCGCTGTGACGTCCGTAACTGGGCCGAGTTGCAAGCCCTCATCCAGCTCTCACAGGACAAATGGAACGATGTCCCCGACGTCTATGTCGCATCAGCTGCTATCTTTGAGCCCGTACGCGTTTCTCCCTGATCTAACACCCCTCCCGATTTAACATATTGCTCATGATCTCCTCGCTCACGGAATGCAAAATCAGTCATGGTCCAGTTTCTGGGAAGACAAGGAAACGACCGACTACGCGTGTATCGACATCAATGTCAACCATCCCATCAAGCTTACCCGACTGGCCATCCGAGCTCTCCTGGGTAAGGACAAGAAAGGTGTCGTATGCCTGGTCTCTTCTATCGCGGGAATAAATGCTTCGATCCGGAGCCCCCTGTACTGCGCATCCAAACATGCCATCTGGGGCTTCGTCAAGTCGATGACCATGCTTGACCAATTGGAGGGCGTGAAAGTCACCTCCATCTGTCCAGGGTATTTCATCCCCTTTTATCCTTCGAGTCTCCGATTTCCTAGAGCATGCGCTAATGTCAACCAGCGTTGTCCCCACGCCTCTGTGGGACTCCGTCCCCGGTGTCCGCAAGCATCTATCCTATGACCGAGTGAAACATGTCCCGGCAGCAGAAGTGGCAGAGTACATGCTCGAGCTTATCCAGCAGGGCAAGTACTCTGGCGGTTCAGTGGTGGAGATTACCAGCTCTGGCCCGGACGGTCGTAGAGTCATCCCGCCGTGGAATGTCTCGCCACCTAATGTGTATGCTGGTGCGGATAAGGAGATGTTGGCTAACTTCATCGAACCGGTCCGCGAAGCGTTGAAGAAGGAGCGGAAAGCGAAGCTGTAAACATTATACCCTTTATTTATTACACCCAGATCAAGATGTTTATCGCATCAAGAAGAGAGTTCTCAGTTCGGGATATTTCTCGCTATAATAAAATTTCCAAAAAGTATACCACCTGTTATCTGTGTACATATCACTACACAGACCTACAAGTGGTATCCCTACTACCACTGCGATCTAAGTCATTAGATAAACATGGAATGATACTCCAGCTACCTTTTTCTTGGCCTGATGCGCTTTGCCTGAACAACTCTTCCCTCCTCGTCATGTCCGTGTGCAAATTCAATTGACTAGCACCCAGAATGCACTAACTATAATATGCATTCTATAGCACTGGATCTGGCAAGCTTCTTAATAAAGCTTTCTGGAAGTCCGCATGACATTATCCCAAAAAAAAGAAATAAAAAAAAGAAAAACCAAGACTACCGGCCTATAGAGAGGTACGATAGTCAGACCCTGTTAGCATAACTCATCCTCAAAAGGCTTACGCAGTAGGCCAGAAAAACAAATTGTGCTAGTTAAGCACGAACGTCACAACAGGAATATTTCGTCTAGTATCGGTGAATCGATTACTAATCGTAGTAAGCCCGTGGTGTTTGTAATGAAGTATCATTTAGATGTGATATAGAAATTTATGGAAGTCATATACACTGATATAGTTACTGATAATTATACAACAGTGTAAAAGTAAGGTATATCCCATAGATATTATAGAACGACTCTCAAATATATCTCTTAATGAGAAAACGGATACATCTTTATCATACTACGCTTCATAACTTATGGAGGTTTATTAAACTGGGCGATACTCTTTGACAGTTACATCATAATAATACAGCCATCAATACATATCTGCATGTCTAGGTACTTTTACAACTTACACTTGTCTACTATCTACATATTAGGCACCTCTTGGGGGCCATTCGGATGATGGTTGTGCTGTAGTATAAGTTCGTAGTAGGCGCAATGAACACAGCCGAGATATATATTGAGGTACAAGACTAGTAGTAAGTTGTATCACAACCACGGGTCTACACAATCGCTCGTGTGTTTCACTATAGTAATTTGCAATCAATTGGTTGTGTCATGAAGCTGCCATTCTGACTATTGTAAATAAGACTCTCTTATATTATCATGTCTACACTCATGTTGTCATATCTAGTTTAGCAACCCGCAAGACGTCCCCAAAGTTAAGTGCAGGATACATATCTTTCCTGATCCCAAATACAATGTCCCATACGGAATCTCAATATTAATATGTTGTATATCATTACAATATCAATAGACCGAGTATAATTCGAATACGGGCAGCGTGGGATTTAGTTATACTATGGTATCATAATTCATGGGTTACATGGTCAGCCAAGAGAGCCTCCACATGGCCATTCGCCAACACAGTTGCTTAGAGAGACTGGAACTTTGTGTCGCCTTATCTAAAGCAGCTCCAGAAACCAAGTAACGGCTCTCCTAGGCATTTTTCAGGGTGTCTGGAGAATGATTTTGTTGCACGCGGTCTAACATATTCCAGCAAAGATGGTTCATGAGGGTTATTGCGGCAGGCGAGCGACAATCAGACAAAACACTATGCTCCTAAAGGAGCGTAGATCGTGCAAGAATTGTGGCACCTACTTAGTAATGACGGAAGATCTCGAGCTGTACTGGACTGGTCTATGGGAGTGATGGCAAGATATACAGAGACTGGTGCGTGCGCTATGCTCTTTAGAGCTTCGAGAAGAGATCACCTGATCCGACTGCTTACTCTTACCCCCCACTCCATCCCATTTCCCCTCGCTTACTTTTCACTTCAGCTCCCTCACATGGGATCTAGGGTGTGGCCAAAGATTTACCCGGTACTGCATGGTGCAGGATAGCAGCTGAACGCTTCCAACAAACATATTATAGAGACTATGTTTGATGGGGTAAGTCTTCACTGAGAAGTCGGAATACAGGCTCACTGCCTCATGAATTCTACTAAATGGGTCCTCGAGCCCCCACTGCACGAAAACCTTGCCCAAGAGTATAGTCACTCCGAGCTCATCGTGATCAGGCCATAGCATCATGCCATGATGCCTCTGCCAAACATAAGACGAGTACCCTGCCTACTTGCCCAATCCTGTGTTGCGATAGATTCGAACAGCAGCGTGCCAGCCGGCCCCTCGCCGAGCTGGCCTTATTGACTTAATGACTTACTTGACTTACTATTCAGCTCGGAAAGGGCTCGGAAGCCATTGCGTTGTTGCGTCGGACACTCCCGGTTCCTGCAGGACCATGTACTTCATTGTTGCTTGGAAGGAATAACCCCCACCGACCAACTCATAATGGCCGTACTGGCTTGGCAGTCAATGAAAGCATTCCTCTCCAGTCCTACTCCGGGGTGAGCAAAGGCTCGAGACGTATTTCTTTAGCTGAGACACTTCTTCCTTATCTGACGGCTGATTCGAAATGGGTGAATCCTCATCCGGGGGTTTCCACCGACTTGCCCCCCAAGGTTACCGGCTTATCAATCGTGACTCAACATGATACTCCAGAATCCTGCAGCTGTTTAGTGCGGGATTGATAGGGTCACCACCCCACTGCGGTCCTTCATCATGCTTGAAGTCGAGAGGTTACATTGGAGTGTCAAGGGAAACCTCCCATGAGGGAGTTATTGCCCAATGGCAGGCGTTCAATTTCATCTATTCGACATGAGGAGTATGCAGGCCGCCGACGGAGCCCGGCTTCACCTACCTGATCAGGCTTATCTCCGGTAACGGATCATTACTGACCGATGCGCTGCTGACGATCGCTATCGTGCACCGCCATGGTGGCATACCCGTCTTCTCGTTCCCGCCGGCAGTGGTTTATTCCCCGTATTCTTCCCCCCAAGCGATGACCCTGAGCCGTGTCCAGGTCCCCGCTGGGCCCTGTGCCAGTTATGCTCAAAATAGATCTGATTTCAAAGGGTCGCTTCGCTATCGAAGGGACGATGCTGACGACGCGTCGGGTCTGGAAGCGGAAGGTGAATTGTGGATCTGCGGCCTTCCCGAAGGAACGCCGTCTGGGGTTAAATTCTAATCCGACTTCAATCTATCTGGACGTTCGAGGTCCTCATCCTGCGCGGCTTGCAGCATCGCCAAGCAGACTTATGCAGCTCTAATAAACTGTCTGCAGCAGTGGACAGCTAGTCTATCCCGGTTGGGTCGAACTAATTGACGACTCCGTCGGGTGCAGCCGTTTGTCTTTTCGGCGGGATATCCCCTCCTTTTGTCAAGAGATGTGTGTAGGCTTCACCTCGAGACCCAGGGCTATGCTGTAAGGTACTGCCTAGGAAGTATATGGAGTGGGATGAATTTACTGCGACACGCCTGGTTTAGAGATGGAATTAATCTGCCAATGAGACCATTCCGACAGGGCATGTGAAGGAGAGATCTGCTCACGGTGGGCCGAACCGAGTGGACTCATCCCATAGTAGAGCCGGCCGATCTCCCAGTGTCTTTTAACGGATTACAACTGCTGAGTACTATCCGGAAAGCTCGTTCGGCCCGCCGGTATCTGCAGGACGTCCTCCGCCAGCCAGTGAGAGACAATGCATTATTGTTCGTGTCGGTTGGCCCCCGATCGTCGTGATCAGCACTTCCCAGCGAATTAGTTTCGCGTTGGTCTTCCTTCCGCGGTCTCTCTCGGCGAATCCGATTTCCGCACGCTGGCTTGGCATCTCCATCGCGGCTTGGCACCACTAACCTGAAGTCTATGCGCCTTCCACATCCGGCACCCTGGTTACTATTCCCAGCATCCTTCGTCACTCCGAATCTCTGCAGAAACTTAGGTTATGATAACCTGGAACGATAGTCGCCATCAATTCATCCACTCACCCACAATGCCCAGACTGTGGAGAATGTGGGTGGAAGAATCCTATTGTGGGAGGTTTACATCACAGCCATTCACAGCGGCCGCTCTGGCACGATGGCCTTCTGCTACTGACGGTCTGGCCAGTTCACTCAGTATGTTTCTCTACATGGCTGGTATCTCTTTTGCATCTGCAGCCTATCACAGTCCACATAATCCAGTCTCCATCAGCTCCATCCTTCGGAGTATATTGGCCTCGCCTTTATCGAAACCTAAGGGAGACAACTGAGGACCATGGACTAAGCTCGCCATCGGTTGCTACACTGATGCCAAGTGATCGACCTTGTTTGCAGGACGATCATCCCTCGGTGCACCACAGGTACCTGTATCGGATCGGCTGCACGAGAATTTCAGTCGCATCGAGACAAGGATGCCGAATAAACTATTATCCACCACAGCGTGATATTGATTGTACCGAAGAGAAATTGGGATCGCAAGCTCACTCCAAGATAGCTATATAAACCCCTTGGACATACCCTCCCAACTACCTCTTCAGTCTCCCACTCGCATCGCAAGCATCCTCACATTGTCAAGCATCTCTGCAACTCTTTTCCCGGATTCAATATGCAAATCAAGAACGTCCTTAACTTGGCCGTCGTCGGCAATGCCCTCCTGGCCACCGCCCACCCGGGTCACCATGAGGAGCGTGAGGCCCTTCAGCAGCGCTCCTTCAAGCGCAGTGTGGCCCATGGTCTGCAGAAGTGTGAGGCCAGCCTGGAGGCCAGCGGCCTTCACGCCCGCGCCGAGGCCCGTCGCCGCGCCGTGGTCGATATGCACCGCCGTCAGTTGCAGGCCCGTGGCGACACCGCTGAGGTGCTGAACAAGTCGCACCTGTCCACCCGTCCCATCTCGTCCAGCACCCCCGAGACCGAGGTCTTTAACGACGACAAGAAGATCTGCCTCCTCGGACCCAGCGCTGAGGGTGAAACCGGACCCTACTGGATCCCCGGCGAGCACATCCGCGGCGACATCCGTGAGAACGAGCCGGGTATTCCTGTCACCGTCGAGCAGCAATTCATTGACGTCGAGACCTGCCAGCCCCTCACTGGCATCTACACCGAGATCTGGGGCTGCAACGCCACCGGTGTCTACTCCGGCCTGGTGGCTGATGGCAACGGTAACTCCAACGACCTGGCCAACTACAACCGCACCTTCCTCCGTGGTGTGCAGCAGACCGATGAGGACGGTGTGGTGACCTTCAACACCCTGTTCCCCGGTCACTACGCTGACCGCACCACCCACTACCACAACATTGTGCACTGGGGCGCTACTCTGCTGCCCAACAACACCCTGGCGGGTGGCTCCATCCCCCACATTGGCCAGATCTTCTGGGACCAGGACATGATCAGCAAGGTCGAGTCCACCTACCCTTACAATACCAACTCGATCCCCATCACTACCAACGCAGACGACCGCGTGGTCACCGTGGAGACCGAGAACGCCGACACCGACCCCTTCCTGAACTACGTCTACCTGGGTGACTCCCTCGAGGACGGTCTGTTCGCCTACCTCACTGTTGCCGTCAACACTTCGGCCATCCACTACCCCTACTGGACCAACGTGTACACTGCCAGTGGCGGCGAGTCTGTCTGCGGTACCTGCGATGGTGACCCGGATGCTGTTGACGGTGGTCTCCCCACCTCCTCTGCGTCCGCTTCCGCTTCCGCTTCTGCTTAAACGCAGGTGGAGTGCCGACAAGGAGAAAGGAACGAAAAATTGATGAATAATAGGTGGATAGTTTTGTATATTTAGACTAGATGATGTGCCTGACGGTGCTACTTGATAGCTCACGAATATCAAAGAGTTGATTGGATACAGCTACCACTTCGGAAACTGACCGATTCGTAAGCACTAATGACTAAGCGGGGGAGTTCCGACGGTCTAGCCGCATCGGGAATCCGGGATTGATAAATTCCGATGTATTCCCGTTTATCGCGGGCTTTGCTCATTCCGTTGAACAACGATCTTGTGGAAGGATGGAATCAGGGAATGTGTCTCGTCTTGGCATGCGGCATCCTTGCCTGTTCTATGACTTGTTAACCAATTCAACCGTTGGTGAAATCGTTCTTGACTATGGACTAAACAGAAGCAGCTTCTCCGGTGAGTGAGTGCAGTCCGATCGGCTGCTTTGCTGCGCCGGGTTTGCTGTAAGAACACGATGGTATCATTAGATGCTGCATGGGAGGTAAAGAAACTCTATGTACATTCTTGAGGGTTGTCTGCATCACATGGTTCCTGAAATGGTCGGTGTGGGAGTGCAAATAAATGGCAGAGATAGGACACATCAGACGATGCAGCCTGGAGTGATACCATGTTACTCAAGAACTAGCGCTAGTATATAATATATTGATCTATAGTATTCGGTTTCAGTCAGTCAATTACAATAGTACATGTTTTCAGATTCTATCTGGATACACGACAACAACTGTTCTGATAAGATACGGTGACTGCCTCCTTGGTCGTGGTAGAGATACGCCTTGCAGAAGCGTTGTCGAAACCGATGCTCGTACATATTCCCGAGGAGATCTGATCGCCCGCGGCAGCTAAGCAGGGATTCGGTCGATCAATAAGCCCAGAACCCGGCGTTGCCGGTCACTTGATCTTGGGATTTGATAGAACTATACGAGGAATTGTACGGGATCTGGTGAGGGTTATGGTGGCCATAACCCCAATAGAGAGCTTAGACAGGCTTCACCATCATCGCCACCAACAACCTATCTAGCGTACATCTGTCTGGTTATCTACCTGTCACAGATAAGTTTAGAATTGGCCCACCCAGTGGATCCGACCATCTTATTTCTCTTTGTCAGATTCTGGCTTCATCCTGACATGACTCACATTCCCGAACCATTCCCGAGCGGAAATGACATCCATTTCCCCTCACACATTTTCTCCTCATAAAGCTTCCCTCCCAAAACTCAATTCCTGAGTTTTTCTTTTTCCTTCTTTTCTTCTTCATCTCCATATATCCAATATAACCTTCAACAGGGTTGACACACAATGATCGTCAAACTCACCCAACCATACAGCTTCCTGGATGACTACAGCGAGGGTGCTCATCCACGCCTACTGCAGTCCCTCCTGCTCACCAACGCCACACAACAAACCGGTTACGGCACCGATGAATACACACACGAAGCTCGTCAATTAATTTACTCTCAAATACAAGCCACCGACGATGAAGTCGCCATTCACTTTGTCCCCAGTGGAACGGCCGCCAATCTCATCTCTATTGCCAGCTGTCTGCGGCCGTATGAAGCCGTGCTGGCTGTAGAAACCGGACACATTCTAGACAAAGAAGCTGGAGCCATCGAAGCCACCGGCCACAAAGTCATCCCCGTGCCTGGGGTCCGGGGAAAAATGACACCCGAGAATCTCGAACGGGTCTTGGATCGCAATACCTTCTTCCCCCACATGGCCAAGCCGCGGCTGGTGTACATCTCCAATGCGACGGAGGTGGGCACGATTTACACGCGGAGTGAGCTGCGGCGGCTGTCAGAGACGTGTCGACGGCGGGATTTACTGCTGCATGTGGACGGAGCGCGATTGGGGGTGGCGCTGAGCGCCGAGATAAATGATCTCACCCTGCGCGATATGGTCGATTACACGGATATCTTCTGGATCGGTGGCACGAAGATGGGCGCCTTGCTGGGCGAGGCGGTCGTGGTGCGCAGAAGTCTGGCCGAAGGGTTTGAATTTAATATCAAACAGCGCGGAGCCTTGCTGGGCAAGTCTCGCGTCATGGGGGTGCAATTTGCCGAGTTGTTTCGGGATGGATTGTATTTTGAGCTGGCCAGACATGCCAATGCCATGGCACGGCGCATTTCGGCGCAGTTTGAGCGCATGGGATGGGAGCTGGCGGCCGACACAGAAACCAACCAGGTGTTTGTCGTGGTACCGGATGCGATGCTGCATCGGCTGGCGGAGCGCATTCGGTTCTACGAGTGGGACAAGCGTGAAACTGGCACGGTGATTCGCATTGTGACAGCTTGGGCTACGGATGAGATGGCGGTGGATAAACTGTGTCAGTGGCTGGAGGCCATCTATCAGGCATAGTTGGGTTTGCTTCAATCTTAATGTCATGATAATAATACCCGAGCTATCTAATAGAGAGACAGAGAACCTGACAGACAGAGTTTAATATGATGAACTAATGAGATCTCCATGAGTCAATCGGAAGATTAGAATGGAACCCTAATTAAAAATAAACAGGGAGAGACAAAACAGCCGGGCCAGACTGTTGGAGAAATTACTTGATGGAATCCACTTGCTGCAATTTCCGTGACAAAGAATAGGGCATTTCCCCTCATTATTCCCGATCTCCCTTCCGTTATTCCCGACCGCCGGGAATATAATCTTGATACCCCTCACGTGCCCCTCACACAATTCCCGCCCCTCAATTCTGGCCAATTCCATCTTAATTTATTCCCGTGTCGGCTTTGAGGTGTTTGCAACAATGCGCCTGTCCATTTCCTGCGACAGCTGTCGGTAAGCTAAGCTCCCTCACTTCCATTCCATTCCATTCCAACCCATACTGTCCAATCACTTTAATCAATTGCTCACTTACTAGACAATCCAAGGTCAAGTGCATCCACGATGGCCATCCTCCCTGCCGTCGCTGCCACCGCCTCAATCGCGATTCTTGCGTCCTGACCGATCCGCGCTCTCCCGGTGTGCGCACGCCCCGAACCCCTCGCAGAGCCAGCATCAGAAGAACCGGTTCAGGTTCAGGTTCAGCATCAGGGATAGGAACAGGGACAAAAACAGCGACAGACACAACGAGGACCACCGCGACGACTCCCACAGCCAGCTCGCCTGCTCCTACGCCCACTCCTTCTCATTCCGCCAACCCCATCGCTGCCATCGCTCCGGCCACTCTCATCGCAGCATGCGACATCTATCGCAAGAAATTCCCCGTCGTCAACTTCCTCCACTATCCCTCGCTGATCGCCGATCTCTCCCACAATGCCTCCGCGGTTGAACCCGTTTTTCTTTCAGCTCTACTGTCTCTATGCGCCCGCTTCATGCCCGACGCCGCCCTGGCTGCTCCTGAAACCTACGCCGAGTATGCGCGCTCTCAGCTGGCCCATCGCGCCTTCGAAGCTCCCTCCCTCTATCTTGCACAATCCCTTGTCATGATCTCGCTGTACGAATGGGGTTCTGGTCGGCCTTATCGCGCATGGATGTGCAGCGGTACTGTTCCACTCAACTTACCCCTTCAGCCCGACCATCGCTAACACAATGGGCCGATCCAGGCATGGCCACCTACATGATCCAATCCCTCCTCAAGACCGCCGATGACACCATGGAACAACAACCCCTTCTCGACCTGCCCGCTCATCGCATCACCTACGAACAGCTGGTCCGCACCTACTGGTGCTGCTTCGCGCAGGACTGCGAGCTCAGCTCCGGCGCCCGCCAACACTTTGCCCTCTCCTTCCGCCAGATCTCCGTGCCCCTCCCCATCAGCGATTCCGATTTCACCTTTGGGAAAGCCACGCCGCGCTTAATGCCGGCGGACATGAACCGCTCATCCTCTCTGGCATTGAATCTATCCATCGATCGAGGATTGACTATCGTCACACGGGGCTTTGACATTTTCGTTCGCATACTCCGATTCGCTAATGAGAGCCGTCGCGGTCGGGCGCAAGGATCGGCAGGGTTGTCTCTCCGCGCGTGGGAGATGCTCAAAGCCGAGCTGGACGAGTGGAGGGGGCTTCAGGATGCGACGGTGCGGTATCCCGAGACCAATGCGCAGGCGCATGTGGCCTTGGGGTCGGGGGAGTTGTTCGCCTATATCAACCTGGTGTATTTTATGAGGTGTGTTCATTAAACAACATGATGTTCGATGAGGTAATTACTGACAGCGATAGTATTCTGTTTCTCTACCGCGACCGCTTCCTCTCCACCCCCAAATCATTCATCGACCATCACGATCCTGCCGACGACGAAGCCATTGACCACCTCTTCACGACAGCCCAGCACATCGGCGCTATACTCACTGCTCTTGAGGCCTGCGCTACTCCTGTCATCACCCCTTACGCAGGGTTCAGCGTCTTCGTCGCCGCCCATATCAACATGTATGGGACTGTCTGTCCAAGCCGGTACCCGGGGGGTCTGGCGCGCGCACAGGAAGAGAAGAAGATGAATCTGGAATATCTGGAGCGACTGTGTCGGTTCTGGGATGTGGGAACGAGCTGGGTAAGCCTCCCTCACACCTTCGGTGTTATGTACCGTGAGACTAACAGGTGATAGTGGCGAACCCTCCAAGAAGCCAACCGGTTTTATGAAACAGCCCGAACCAGCGCGCAAGGACCTACGGGCGTTTCCCGCCCAGAACATCTCACCCTAGCTGGTACCCTCGATGAATACGGTGATATTCGTGTCTCGCGACCCGAGACAGCACCTGCTTCACGGCGGCGCCCAGGAGTATCTTCAGAGGGAGTTGGAGTGCGACGCATGTCGGTGGCCGAGCTAACAGCGCCAGGTGGCAGTGGAAGTAGCGGTGGTAGTGGTGAATGGGCGGATGTGGAGGCGGAGATGTGGCAGTGGCCGTTCCTCGATGAGAATTGGTCGCTGGGATTCGACACGGGGTTTGAGTCGGCGTGGCCGGGGTTAAGTTGATGGCAGCGGGGTTGGCCTGTATGAGTGATGAATGTATGAGTGATGATCACCAGTATAATTAATGTAAACAAACACAATCGGAAACTGTTCTGGTATCATAGCCATCACAGCGCATGCATAGTTAGTGATAGTTCTATGTTCAATATTTGGATCCGCGGAGAAGTTTGTTTGATCAAGACTTCAGTGATATTCGAATAGGAGATAAATCATTAACAGGGTCAGTTGACCTGCACTGATGCCTCTAAACAACCATCCACTGCGACATCTTTGTTTCAAACTCTTCGGGATGCGGTACACTGGGCGCAAACATTGCGACCTCGGTCGGCGTACTAGTAGATAGAGCACAGGCCTCCAATTCGGTACTAGTATCATGTTTATTAGCGGTTCGGTCGGCATGATGGTGCTGCTAGTCGCGAATGTGAGTGCGCCACGCTCGGTTACTCTTATTTTCGAGGCGCATAATGATATGTCTCAGATGTTCGTCGAAATCAACCACCGACGACATAGTACATCACTGTAATCAAAGCAAGCGCAACATAGTACGTCCTGGCAGGTGGTTCCGAAATCCCCGAAACAACGGAATGCAGTTTCAGTCGAATACTGCTAATAATATATATTCTCTCTCCTGCAGGTCGAGTCCGAGTAGGTGCATACGTGGCTCGCGTAGAATTCTGGAATACAGCATAAGCCCATCGGCGAATACTTCTAATTGCGTCTACCGTTGTGAGCGGGGCATGTTCAATCGGCATTTTAACTAAGTATTTAGTTTTTTTCTAAGTTTTGCTCCATTGGGGAATAAAGGCTGTGACGGTAAAGGAGAAAATCGCGTGGAATCTAGAAAACGCGGTGGAAAAACACTAGCATCATTTTAAAGTTAAGCCGGGAGTTGATTTATTGCCAGAACGCGTCGATCTTTGGCGCACACAGAATATGGATGGGTAAGTGGAGATGAGACGGACAAACCACGTAAGATGGTGCGTGAATGCATCATCACACACCTTTTTAGTCCATTTCGACAACAGCATTAAACCTGAAGGAGTTGAATCCGTGGAGTGACTACCGTAAGTAGCGTGGCGCAGATATCGACTCTGTTCAGAGTTGGGTTTCACTCTGCTATTCTTGTTGCTTCGAGATGGCCTGTTCGGCGTGGCTGGGTTTCCGTGGGTGGACCATTCCCAAAGGCGCTCACCAGTTCGACGATCGGCCGTTGCATTTGCCCAGCCCTCTGTTGGGGAGAACGAAGCTTTTAGCGGGGAATACGCCTCGGTTGGAACCAGATTTGGTGTGCTTGGGCTAAATTCTTTTCCTCACGAAGTGGTGCAGTGGAGTCAGGGTGGAAAAAGGGGTGTGGTGAGGGTTCATGTTGTGGATATTGGTGATTCTTTGCTCACAGTGATCGCGAAGGGAGTAATCCCAGCTGGGGTTGAAAAGGATACCTCATCCTCTACTGGAAATGAACAAGATAAAGCCGGCGCCATCGCAATCCATCACTAGAAACTAATGACAAGAAACGAACAAGCAATGGGTGGACCAAAGCCGCGTGGCCGCTGAGTGGCCGACGGCCCACTCCGGATCCCCGAAGCCAATCACCGAGTCAATCGCTATAAAAATAACCTGCGAAAGCCTCAGCCCTAGTTGAGGCACGTTATGGAGTACGACGACTGCCAGCAAGATTGGCCTGGCAGAGATTTCGGCTCTCTCGCCCATCATCTCGCTCGTCATTCATATTTGAGGGCCTGTCGGTAGTTCTGTTCCGATGGGCCCTACAATACCTTCTCTACCCTGATTTCTCTCTTCCTCCTCCTCGCCCTCCTCTTCTTTCATCATCCTAACTACTTCTACCCGACTTGGCTGCTGCCTATATCCGACCCCTCCTCTACGCCATCATGCAACTCCGCTACCTGCTAGCGCTCAGCGCCCTATCATCTACTGTTCTCGCGCACGCGGAACCCGCGGCTGGAGTTTTCTCGCTGTCACCGCAAACCGAAGCGCCGGTCGCTCAACCAACATCCATCGTTGATCAATACCTCAAGCCCAAGCGGTATAACCGGTCCTTGAACTTCCAAAAGAGGGCGACCACCACCGATGATACCACCACGACGGATGCAGCCACCACCACTGCGGATTCCACTACATCCACTTCGACCAGCACTACCGAAGCCACCACCACCTCCGACACCTCCACGACCAGTGCGACGACTACCGCAACTACTGCCACGAGCACCAGCTCTAGCAGCAGTAGCACTTCGTCCTCATCCTCTCAATCCACCACCAGCGCCACCTCCACCACTCAAAGCACCACGACCACCTCGACGACCACTAGCACCACCACCTCCGCCACGAGCACCGTCTCCGCCGCGCAAAAGGAGTACAACCACCGCGGAGAGATTGCCGCCATCGTGACCTTCAGTATCCTGATCTTTATCTTTCTCGCCCTCACCTTCTTCCTCTGCTTCCGCGAGAAGGCCAAGACCAACCGTCTGGCCAAGAAGGCTGACGCGGGAGCCGATTACTCCATGGTGCCGCTGGCCGATGGCCGGCCCCAGAGCGAGGCCAAGTTTGACCGCGCCTCCATGATGTTCGCCTCCAACTCGCAGCTCAATCTGGATCAGATGGCGAGGAGGCCTACCTCTATGGCGGCTAGTGAGACTCTGAGCGTGCCGATGAACCGGACGGCGCCGGGGACGCCTTCGGATGAGCACCGGGCGAATATGGTTTGATTGGGAGTATAGTTGGGGGGGTGTATGAGTTTGGTCTGATACCCGGGACAATGTTCGACATGATTGCAGCATGACATTACCGATCGGAGTCGCCATCGTTGAGGATGATGGATTTATTTCCTTAGTGTCTTATTTGTTCTTCTTCTTTGTGTATATTGGATGTTTTGTTCTTCAGCGATTTGAGCCTTCTGTATGATCGTTTGTGGAGCTTTGAGATATCAGATGCATATGCATAGCGTTGTGGAGATATATCCATTGCATTGGCTATCAGTAGTATGTAAGACCCGCATTGAATCGGCGCATAGTTTTGAGCTTAGCATACAGTTGCTGGGAGAATTATGCAAGCCGTCTTTTGGCATAAACCGTCACAAGATACGACAGAATTCGACGTATTATCCTGAATCGTCGCCAACCACACATCAACCATTGTCCCAGTCATTACCCATGTAAAACGAACTTGTACATTCACGAATTCATTAACACCGATGACACTATCTAAGCCTAGTGAAACCATCCTTCCCACCCATAACGCAATCGGCGATATCTCCAGATCCCAGCACCCTCCTAACGCCGAAAGCCGATCTATACACCACACCCGGCTGAACATAAATATCGATATCTGCCACTTACAAACATATACTACATAAACCATTATTCATATTCCAAATAATACAAAGATACACAATTATATACTACCATGCCCCAACGAATCCACTCCACCGGCTCCCTCGACGCCTTCAACCCCATTCTAGTCACCCCCGTCATCGGCACCGAATTCCCCAAAGACAGCTGTAACATCGTCGACGACATCCTCAATGCCCCCAATTCTGAGCAGCGTATTCGTGACCTTGCCGTCCTCGGTACATCCCATTCCATCCCATCCCATCCCCAATCCCACCTACCCACCCACCCATCTAACAAAGACATCGGTATAAACAGTCGCGGAAAGAGGCGTCGTCTTCTTCCGCGCCCAGCACAACCTAACCAACGACCTCCAAAAACAGCTCATCCTCCAAATGGGCCACCTCACGACCCGTCCCTCATCCCACGGCCTCCACATCCACCCCGTAACCAACGACTCAAGAGAATTCGGCGACCCCGACCCCCAAATCAGCACGATCAACTCCGAAGGACGAAAGAAACTCTACAAGGGATCGGACTATACCCGTATGGCGGCTGTCTGGCATAGTGATATTGCGTTTGAGAAGGCGCCGGCCGATTTCTCCAGTCTTAGGTTGACGCAGTTGCCTGTTACGGGGGGTGATACGTTGTGGGCTTCTGGGTATGAGGTTTATGATCGGATTAGTAAGCCCTACAGGGGGTTTTTGGAGGGGTTGAGTGCGACGCATGTTGGGGAGGGGTTTAAGAGGATGGGGGTTAAGGTTTATCAGGGGGAGAGGGGCGCGCCGGTTAATGTGGGGGATGAGTTGGAGGCGGTGCATCCGGTAGGACCCTTTCTGGAATTGCTGGGGTATGAGGCGGTTGGCTGATTGCTGGGATAGGTTGTGAGAACGAATCCGATTACGGGGTGGAAGTCGATCTTCCCGATTGGTATGTTTATGTTGTTGGATGCAGTGAGTGTGATGGTGAAAATGATGTGTGCTGATATGAGTAGGGGCCTTTCCGAGCAAGATCAACGAGTTGAATCGGAGAGAGAGTGCGAATATGCTGCAGTACTTTCATGATCTGATTACCTACGGGCATGATCTACAGGTGCGGTTCAAGTGGAATGAGCCGAATGATATTGGTATGTTGGAAATTCATTGGTTGTAGGCAGATGCTGACGAATTAGCCATCTGGGATAATCGCAGCGTGTTCCACACGGCCACTGGTGATCACGAAGGCTTCGGGCCTAGAAGTGGCAATCGCGCTGTTGGAGTGGGCGAGGTGCCTTATTTTGATCCCGAGAGTAAGTCGAGGAGGGAGGATCTGGGGATTGAGGATACGCTATCTCCAGCTCATTTGTAGTTATTCTATCATTATGCGCAAATGGGTATCTGCTAGTTCACATCTACTGCGGAGTAAACCAGTTTAGTCCGTCGGACATGTCCAGGCTTAATAGGTCGTTTGACCATATCTCTGGGAACATGTCGCTGAACGTATGCCAGAAGTCGGGTGTGTCTGCTGTGGCAGATCCCTGTCTGTATGGATCGGGCCCGGTTAGCCCTCCCATAGGGGGCAATGGATACTGAAAGTCGAACCATCCAGCTGAGAGCTGAGCATCCCCAGTAGTTGCGTCGGTGTGTGCGCTCACACTCTCAGAATGTGGTGTGGGAATAACGTCCTCGGTATGAGATTCACTTGGCAGAGGGTCGGCCTTTGCCGCATCATTCACATACTCCATCACGCGGTTGATAATCATCTCCAGTCCGTCTCGGTACTTCTTCAGACTAGGATTCCTCTCCGCCATAACGAACAGCGCAGAAGAACAGGCTCTCAGATCATTTGACACGGCTATTGTCCACAGTTGAGGGGCCCGGAAAAGGCAAAGGCTATTTCGTTAGTCTAGTTCTACTGTGATGGAAGAAAGGGAACTGCTCACCAAATAGTCAACCCAGCCATATACAGTGAATTAACCAGGAGAAAAGAATACCCGGACGAATCTCGCTGTCGCAGCCTCTTGAAACACTGACACATCTGGCCTGAGGCGTACAAGCATCTCTCAATTAGAGGATCACTTCGCGGTAGTACTCCCACGAACCGCTGAATGAGCATCCGAATGGCGTTGTTCCAATGCATATGGACAAAGTCGTCTTCTTCCGGTGCCATTTCCGGCAGCGATGTTTCGAATTCTTCCAAAGCAGCAAGCAGAGGAGTCGTCTCTGGGACAAGCGTTGTGGTGTGCTTATCTGTTCGATAAACCCGGGTATGAATATGTGACATGATGCGCTGCAACTGTGCCAAAGCGATGAATCTCCGAAGCTTCCTTCCGTGCGCCGGCTCGCGCGGAGCCACTGAGCCCTGCAGAGCCTGCTCAACCAGCTTGTCGCTGGTACACGAATCATCCAGATCCGCTGGAGCATGAACATCAATGTCCTCCTCGGGGACACTGAACGGCCGTCCTAATGACCAGGCCACGTATCGTTCAACCAGGTAAACAGACCAGAACAGCCGTCGGCGCATTTGCCCTTCATACGGTCGCATCTTCCGATACTGAGATTCGCGGTGCAACCCTAGATCGATACAGATGCGCATGGCTAGACCTATCAGATACCATACTCTCGTGGCAGACGATGTCCGCATGTGATAGAGGACGAGTAACATGAGTGCTTCGATGTTCATGTAGGACTGTGATTCCCCGAGGACAGATTCCAGCTGTAGTGCCATGGCTACAAACGTGCTCGGGGGCGTGGAGTCGTAGGTCTCGGTCATCTGTAGAATAGCTGCGCCAATGGCGTATACCATGAATAGTTTGAATCGTGCAGCCTCGCTCATCTGATCTGACGGGGACTTTCGTACGGTCGCATGCAATTGCATCAGCTCCGCACGATCAAGAAACGGGAGACGGGTATGCATGTCTTTAAAGTAGGCATTAAGGAGGCGTAATCCAACAGCATCACTCGGTATTGCGGTGCTGGTTGCGGTTCTTTCGCAATCCGGCGGAGGTTGGTGGTGACTGCCATTGATGGGGATGGACCTCAGCCAGACGGCGTTCTGCACCAGACGGCCCAGATCTTCTGCGATGGACATTCCTGATGAGGGTCCTAGATACGCCAGGTTGTCGCTCCCCTCATGGCTCATTGCCATCATCGAGACCACTCCAGCTCGGGATTCATGGGGTTGTAGTTTTGCGCCCGTTGACAGCTGTTCTGCTGGCGCATCTTCATCCGGGGGATTCTGTTCCAGTGCAGCGGATAATTCCGCTTCGAGCACTTCGATGCGGCGCACCAATGCCCCCTTGGACATGGCATGGTGCCAGGAGGGAACGGACTCGGATCGCAGACAGGGCTGTTTGGCGGATTCGCAGCCAGTACAGGTCGGATAACCGACGCATCGCTGCTTGCGTCGGTGGCAGCGTTTACATGACTTGGGGATGCGTTTGCGAATTCTTCCTTCAGCGCTCATGACGAGAGGTGAAGGGTAGAGTGAAGAAATTGGAAACGGGGAACAGGGGATGATCGTCCATGCCTGGTGTTTCCCCGCATCTTGAACTGATGATCGATTCCTCTGCCGAGGCGCCAATTCAAGTAGTTACCGGGCTGGGCGTGGCGGTGATGAGGCGATGGTGCCGCCAACGCACGCCATCGCATTGGTGACGGTTTACTGGCCAACCATGTTGAAGCATTTGACACGGTCGGAGAGGTATCCGACAGGCATGAATCAAGATGATGTTGGAGGTGAGACCGAATATATCTGCGGATACCAGATCAGTCTGTAGTAGCAGAATCTCCGTCACCACACTATGGTTCTGGGATATGTCTGCTCAGAAGAGCGTTATCATTGATTCTAAAATATTACCAAAATAACCATACTTGTTTTCCATTGAAGGAAATAGGGCGGTCGTATGCCACACTGGCATGAATGTGTCAAGTCCGGGTTGAATCTGTTGTGAACATGTACGCAAAGCTTCGGCAAATACCCCATCCAAGGCAAGATGGCCGAGTGGTCTAAGGCGCTGCACTCAAGTGAATTTCGCTTGTCCAACTCAGTTGGATGTATTGCAGTCTCGAAAGAGGCGTGGGTTCGAGTCCCACTCTTGTCATATCTTTTTATTTTTTTCCCGTTTGTTGTTCCCGTCCCGTGTGATCGCTCGGGAGGATAATGAATGCATTGTTTTGAAATGTATAAAACGGCCCCAACAAAAAGGCCTTTGATACGAGTTATGCATGGCTCTCTTTACTCCGTGGCAGTCAGTGAGTGTGTATGTATGTAGAACAACGTATTCCCCTACCGATTCCCTCCTTCTTTTGGGCTGTCCTACATGCCGCATCCATAGAAGCAACCATTACCCTAATGTGTCTGTCCATCCCGTGGCAGCCTTATTGGGATGACAGTGTGACAGTGTATTTGTCCCCGGTGCCACAAGCCAACCCCTTCACATCAATAATGTATCACAATACCATAAATGCTTAACAGGAGCTATCCCCAACAAAGAGTTCCTCACGCCTCAAGTCCATCTGGCAACTGACAGTCTGACTGGATCACTGACCATTTTCGAGATCCGTGGGGAAGTGGGCCGCCCGACCCAGACTTGCCGTCTCACTCAGCTCAACTACATCAGCTAGTTCCCTCCTCCTTCATCACCATCGGCTTACTTCTTTCTCGTTTTCATAAACCTCTCAGTTACTGTGGTTTTGTAATAATGTCGACCGCAAATTATAGAGTCACCGAGCACATCATCCCCGCGTGCTATGTTCGGGAGTATGCGGGCAGTACCGTGGACCAAGAAGATGTGCTGCATCTCCACATCAAGCAATACACGCCTCGCCATCTACCCGATCCCGTCCCAGATGATGCTGTCACCATCATTGCAGTTCATGCTGTGGGCTTCCCCAAGGTAAAGATTTGGCATTCAAGGCCATCGGATAAAAGTAAGCTAATTAGGAATAGGAGCTCTACGAACCACTCTGGGACGAGCTTCTCGCTCGATCCGCTCATTCCAACTTCCACATCCGCGGTATCTGGATTGCAGACGTTGCCAATATGGGCATGAGTGGAGTACTCAACGAAGTTAAACTCAGCATGGACTGTGCGTGACTGTGGTCCTACCTTGCCCAGATTTCATTACACCCGGCTAAAATGGTCATGTTCTAGGCTCATGGATGGACCATCCCCGCGACCTGCTCCTGCTGATCAACCACTTCCGCGACCAGATGCCCCGACCGCTAGTGGGAGTGGGCCACAGCTTCGGAGGTACCATTATGTGCGTATCCATCCACGACCCTAGATCGATGGTTGCTGATCATAGGTTTTGAAGTACGAATCTGGCACTGATGCACCCTCGTCTACTAACCTCAGTCATCCTCTTCGACCCGGTAATTCAACGACTACCGCCCAAGATGGGCTTTGGCGCTGATCCGCCCGGTCCTGTCAACTTTGCCTTGTGGCGTGATGACGTCTGGCCAAATCGGGCGACCGCTGCTGCAGGTTACAAAAAAGTGTTCAAGAAATGGGACCCCCGGTGTCTCGAACTAATGGTACAGTATGGGTTCCGGGATCTGCCCACGGCCCTGCATCCCGACCTGCCCGACAGTGCAGACGCTGCCGACCCGCCTGTCACGCTGACCACGACCAAGTATCATGATGTGCTGGGCCAAATCCGGGAACGATTTCACGCTGGAATGACAGATGGCCAGGCTCAGTTGGATCGCTCAACCCATGCGGACGTGGATCCCTCTGTGGCTGTCCTTCCGGTGTATCGTCCTGAACCACCCAGTACATTTCATAAGTTGCCATCATTACGACCGTCGGCCCTCTTCTTGCTAGGGGAAACGAGTTACTTGAATTTGAAGGATCTCCGGGAAGGAATCAAGAGCTGTGGTCAAGGGGTTGGGGGCAGTGGGGGGAAAGACAAGGTCAAGGAGGTTACCCTACCCAAGCAAGGCCACTTCTTCGCCTTTGAGGTGGTGGAAGAGACAGTCAGCCATTGCGCCAGCTGGTTAGATGAGGTTGTGCGCGGATACCGCGACACTGAGCAGGAGTGGAGGGAAAAGAGACAGAAGATGGCTAAACGGGATCATTTGGTGCTGAATGAAGAATGGCGAAGGGTGATCAGGTCTCCCAGTTCATTCCGCGCGGCCAAGTCACGGAAAAGCAAACTATGAGATCTTAGTAGTTGTCTCACCCTGACACCTCGCTATTGACTAAAGTAATACTACCATTCGTGCTTTGTTATGGAAATATACAAGGAAATTCCAAACTTCAGCAGATTCTGTGCTTGAATGTATCCAGCTTTGGGTCAAACAGTCTTCTCAGTACATCGAGTACTATTGCACAAGAAAGGAAGTGCAGAAGACGGAAGAAATTCCCTGCAGAGAATACGGACACATAGTAGACAGTAACAAAAAGCCCGGAGTATACCACCCTGATTCCCCGTTACTTCCCAACCCTACGGAATTGGGGTAGCAAGGTTGCTTATGTGGCGCAGTAGATCCTACTTTTCCCAGAGACTCCCCAACATCATATAATCACACAACCACCGTTGTAACTCTTACCATACACCAGCCACAGCACCCTCTCACAACTAACTAAAGCACATCCCTCGGCAAAAACAACGGCATCGAATCCTCCCACATCGAGTTCGTCAGCAACTTCTTGTTCCCCCCATCCTTATCCATTATCATAATCTGTCCATACGGCTGAAAGGTATCATCATACAAGGCACACTCGTACCTGAACCCATACATGCCGGTAGACCACATAATCCGTCCATCCTGCGACCACACCGCATGCGCATCGTTGGCACCACTGCTTGTCAACACGCGCAGATCCGTCCCGTCCGGTCGAATGGTGCACACATCGTAATTGTACGTGCTAGTCTTGCGCGTAAACAGGATGAGCTCTTCATCAGGAGAGAACTGGGGCAGATTATCCCACTCAGTCGTCAGAACAGTTGTGTTTCGCGTCTCAAGATCCAGTACCCGCAACCCGATCTCGCTGGCGTTGCCGTATGTCGCGGTGTCGGCTCCCCATACCCGATACACTACTTTCTTGCCGTCTGGCGAGAAGCTTGGGAATCCATTGTTTAGGGCCCCATCCTCGGTGATGGAGTAGCTGCTATTTACGAGTACCTCGGAGTAGCTCCCATTGGCGGTGGCCCGCACGATCCATCCGCCGGAGGCTTCTCGAGTCTCAAACCAGAATCCCACGCCGAAGACAAGCCACTCGCCGCAGGGGGACCAACTGGGCTGGTAGGCGCTCAGACCTGTGGTTTCATCGTCGCTAACGAAGTCTGCCGTGCTGGGATCGTAGACGAGTTGCAGGTCAGAACCAGTCGTGTTCAGCGTGACGATGGACGAGTTTCCCAGCTGCTTCTGTGTGATGGCGATGCGCTCCTGGTGCGAGATCTGGGGGAAGACGTCCGTGAACCTGTAGTCCCAGTCGCTGTCCCAGCTGTAAAGTTTCTTGTATCCCGCGCGGATGCTCCATGTAGTCTTTTCGTAGACCACTTGCTTGCCGTCGGGAGACCATGCCGGGGATCGGAGGGTCGCTGAGGTCGTGTTGACATACAGCCCTGCGGTGGTGTAGAAGCCCTCGCTGGTGCCGCCCTTGAGGGTGTAGGCGATGGTGCCGTTCCTATCTAGGTACTGCGGGAATTGCTTGACGCCCGAGCCGGCGACTTCAACACGCACATCGGTGCCGGTGGCGAAATCGACCGACATGATGGTTGAGTTGGCCGTGGTGATGGTTTCCGGACGGTGGGCGTTGTAGGTATCTTCCCGGGTCATTTCGTAGTAGACGATGCGTTTACCGTCGGCTGACCACTTGGGAGATCCCAGGGAGTAATAGGGTTTGGAGATGATCTGGCGGAAGTCGGAGCCGTTGGGACGGATGGCATAAAGGGAGAGCTCTTGTGTCGTCTCCCAGCCCGTGCGGCCGAGGAAGGTCGGCTCGCCGTGTCCGTCCCATTGGGTGTTGCGGTCCGAAGAGAAGGCGATCCATTCGCCATCGGGGGACCAGGCAGGGCGGAGATAGCTCTCCATGAGGGAGGAGTTGGCAGCAGTGCTGGGGGTGTTGGTGAGGTTCCACTGCGCGCCGGTCTGCAGGTCGAGGACCCAGATGTTTGCCTTCATGTTGTTGGCGGTGGAGACGTAGGCTGCCAGACGGCCGTTGGGAGAGATCACGACGGAGTCTTCCACTGCTGGGGTGGCGACCAGCTCCTGCAGATCAGAGCCGTTGGTCCGCACCCGGTAGATGTCAGAGTTACCGTCGCCGTTGCGCTCGCTGGTGAAAGTAATCCATTCTCCGTCAGGAGAGAAGGAGGCGTGGTACTCGAAGACGGGGTCGGAGAGGAGTGGACGCTCATTGCTGCCGTCCGTGTTGGCAATGTATAGTTCAGAGGTGCCAGGAGCAATGCGGTTCATCATGAACACGCCCTTCTTGCCGACGGTAGGGGTAGTAGAGGAGGTAGGAACAGTTGAGGGGCTGCTCTTGGATGCCACCAACCCTCGGGACATGTGAGCGTGTGCCTTCACCATGTCATCAATGTCCATATTCGCAGTGTGTGCGAAGGGACAGCCTCCAAGGGCCGGGACGGCGGCAAGGCCAAGAAGGGGGAGGAGGAAGCAGCGCATGGTTGCGGAGGACTGCCCGATATTCTAAGACTTGATCTGATCTTCGAATGAGCGACGCCTGAGCGGAAAACTGACGAGCGAGAAGACGGTGGTATTTATGCACTCCGACCTGGAGCAAAAGCGCACTTGCCCCGCGTCTGATGCAGATTTTGCTGAAACATCGCTAAGCGTGCAGCACCGTTCGGTGAAATCCACTTGCGCGTCCCTTTCCTACAGGACTGGGGAGGATACCGGCTAAATCATGTACCCGGTGGATATTGAGATACTCAGGGTGATGTGGGACATGTGGAATCCGTGCACAATCCTGCCCATACCCTAGCGAGTTGTGCGTGAACTGGATACGGTGCAGCCAGACACGTTGGATCTGTTCGCCTCTGCCGGGTAACAGACTGATAGGATTCGACCGGAGGGCAGTGTGTTTGACCAATATCGTATTGTTTCGCTTTATATCTGCTGAAATTTCAGATTTGCCGACAGCTCATGGTCCCATTGGTATTGGTGTAGACGGCCGGATGTTGGCGGACACCGGAGTATCAGATAAGTGCTGTACTTCCATCTGCCAAGAGTCCAATGATTTGAGGCATGAATAATGACGCGGCCGGAGAGTTCTCTCCGATGTCCGTTGTCCGACGATGGTCTGCACCAGATAAGATGAAATAGCATTGTGTTCGCATCTATTGGAGCGAAAATTCAGGGCTGAACCCACAGCCCTGAGGGGCAATTCAACTAGTGACCCTTGTTTCCGGCCATAGTTAAAGTACAGGAACAGCATCAAGATTCCGTTGCCTGACTTGAGGAGATATGCCAGGTCCTGCGACGGGAATCGGAGACCTCAACACCCAGACATATTCTTAAATCTCCCATGTTCATCCCATTTAATATTCTCGATCCCGCAGAAACCTCTTGAAAAGACCGGCGAGAATCCGACAGACGTGAAGTGAACGGGGCAGGCGTTCTTGGCGCCCAGAACCCCGGAGGGATAAGATCTGCAGTTCCCGTCGGGGCAGATCAACTTGGCTGTCTCCGATGTCCGACATCTCCACTGTCAGAGTCAGGTCCACGACCTTATTGCTCCGATGTTATTCGATGGCGACGAAAATCTGTCTTGCTAGTTATTACCCCATGACGACGACAAGCAAGCGAGGAGTCCACTCTTGCTCTCGGAAGTTGTCCTCAGTTGTGCATATCCGGTACCGAGAATAATCTAATCAGATAACCAGCATCTGATACCGGATTTACTTTTGTGGAAAATTGATGTTGGATTGTGAAATCCAACATAAATTAGGTTTTCCTAGCTTCAGCGCACAGTCATGAGAGAAGGGGATAGATCAGCAGTCACAAGATGGACAGATTCGACATGGGAAAAGATTGGATGGAAGGATTTATGACCGGACAACACTCTTCTGTCTTACGCTAACTGGTTTAGCAGTCGGTGAGGGGAACTGAACGGCAGGCATGAGTATATACCCGGGTAATTAAAGTGACATTAGCCTCTCTAGCTCTGTTCAGTAGCAGGAATTATATGTGGAAAACTTTTGCATCCAACCAGTCTTTATCTGTACAAAACTCTAAGCACTTCGCCGTCCCATGGCTTTCACCTCACTATGCGTCAAAGAGTTGGTCACTACCTCTATTGATGTCCGCTTCACAATAGCCATGCTCAGCTGTGGCCACAGCTTGGACTCGCTGTCCCTCGAATTGATCGGGCGGTCTTCCAGATCGAGCCTTGTATCGAACAGGGTATCGCCCCAGACCGGCCGTGCGCTCTTCTTGGCAGTCAAAGTATGCAGCGGGAAAGAGCGGGATCTTGACCGGGAGTATTCCTTGTTCCAGAATCCGGGACGAAGGAGGGGTCTCACGGAGGGTGCTGCGGCAGCGATGACTCCAATGGAGGATTCTAGGCTATGAGGTGGTTAGCATTACGAAGTGTATGTGGTAAAGAGCTCGCTTACAATGCACACATGTAGAGATTCACGTAGTCCCCTAGCCCCATATTAGTAAAATTATGACAAAAGTTGGATCGCAAGGTATGCACGTACATGTCGGATCCGATGACTCGGTCAAGGTGGAAACGTACATTGTTCGCGCAAGTGCAAACCCCGCACTCCTAGTATCCGAAGTCAGCATACCATCCGGCCTGAGCATAGAATAGACTCACGCAAACCCCAGTGCCATGAGCCCGCATATGGCTGTCTTCACTTTGATCGGGATTTTAACCTTCCATAGAAACACGATGGGTAGGATGGATAGCACGATGTCTGTTCCTGCGGCGATTGCTACACTTACGTCTTAGCCGGTGATCCAAAGAAATATCAGAGGGTTTCTTACTTCCTTGCGCAATGGCCGCCCCATTGATTGCCGAACTAGGCCAACAAGTTCCATCTACTCGTTTGTCCCATGTTCGCGCTACCGGATCACATTGAGGGAGGACAATAGCGGCATCAAGAAGGCTCGTGATCGTATTGAAGGCAATGAAGCACCAGAAAAATATCTTCCACACCTTGGTTGTAAGACTAGATGCCTTGTTAGCCTATATTCCGTCGAGTTAGCCTCTGGTAGAACGTACAACAGCCTCATCAAGAGAAGACTGATGGATATTTTCAGGAAGATAGTCGAGAACAGCAACGGAAAGAGGCACATCCGCATGAGCTTGATGCAATAGATGGCACGGTCGACGTCGAGGGTGTCATAATGGCGACCTAGTCCGTACGGGACTGCAGCGAGGATCAAGGCCATGGCGACGAGGGTGGTCAGCTGAGTCCAAGGGCATCAGTGAAATCGTTGAACAGTCCTGCCAGCGCAGCCCTTACCGTCGCGAGGAGGTTGAACCAGTCATCCCAGGACAGTGTCCTCATGACAAATTTTCGAACGTACAGCCGCAGCAGTGTAAGTACCACGGCAATGACCGTGGTCACAATGGTCGGGACTACGACGACTGATGCCTGAGAGGCATTGTCGTCAACCGCCCGTATCCAGGGCAGCATGATGCATTTGACCGAACCGCACCGCTGAGTAGAAGAAGAAACAATCCAACGCAATCATCCGTATTCTGTGAAGGGACCGACAAGTACCCGGGGTAGGCTCCAGCAAAAGACTTTGTACCCCGGGACAGACCAGGAATAAAAAATCTCTGATCCTGGCAGGCGTGCGTAAGGCCATCAGGGGATAGCCAGCTAAGTCAACCTAATCGGCCTGTCTATGCCCGGAAGGGAAAGGGATCGTGGATCTCAGTCCGTCCAGACCAAGGTCGAAGGAAGTTATGCGCATGAACCTGGTCCGTGGGTGCAGCCGGACACGCCCGAGATCTCTTGATGTCTTGTTTGGTGTGGATTGGAAGTGTGCCAATGAGGATGGAGGAGGGCGGGATGATTTCCAGCTGGCACAGTCATTCATCTGTTGGTGCTCCACGGAGGGCTCCACACACACGACCTGTCGTGTGCTCCTGGTCTACGACTTGAAGTAGCTTTCAGGGAGAAGTTGATATGGGGTGCTGTGAAGCTCCTCATATTTGCGATAACATCCGTTGGTAGGATATATTGTAGCACATAGATGGCGATCCCAGTGACTAGAGTGTGCAATGTGTGAAATGTGTGACTTTGGAATAGAGGGTTAAGCATTAAGACCGGGAATTTGTGGGGGAGCTGAACAGCACTGACTGGAGTCAATCCAACTCGAACACGGGAAGAGATGCAGGCACGGGCCCGGAGATATCGCGGGGAAACCGGCCGACACAAAAGAATAGGGCATCTGCCAGGCACGAGAGGGCTCCATGCCTCGATACTACTACTAGTCTGGATCAACGGCTGTCAGACTCTAATTTCAATTGGTTAATGACAGCCCTCCAATCAATTCCATTGTCGTAAAAAATCACGCATCCTGAATCCGTCGGAAACAAAGCAAGGAGTCATCATTTGGGGCTGGCTGATCGGGGATGACCGCGACACGTCGATTTCCCCTCAATCTAAGCAGGCCACTAGTTGTCTTAGTCTATTCTTGGTGACATTGGCTGGATTCCTTGACATGGGATCACGCCACTCACAGTCCTTCCAGATGGGACATCCCTGCCATCTTCGCTTCCTGCGCGCTTTGTTCGTGGTGATCCAAATTATTAATGGCCATCCTCTCAGGGGCACCGCGGCTCACTTTCCTGTCGTCGTCGCATTGATAACCATCTATTTCTAATCCTCCCTTGATGCCCCCCTGGCTCTCCCACCACCCATGTCAGACCAGATCTGGACCTGAACGAGGAACTGGGAGTGGGAGGAACCATACCCCTAACGCGACAGACAGAAAAAGAAAGAGAGTGGGGAGTGCGAGCCGAGGTTTAGTCTAGTTGAGGGCACTATTTTCTTATCCCCGCCCGAACCAAAGTTGCTGCCCATCAAATCATCATTATGGGCCCACTCCGACCGTTTACCGTCACCATCATCGGTGGAGGCATCGGTGGCCTCGTTCTCGCGGTCGGTCTGCTACGACGTCAGGTTCCGGTTCAAATTTATGAGGCCGCCGCTGCCTTTGCAGAGATCGGGCTAGGGCTGTCCATTGGTCCGGCAGCTCACCGGGCTATGCCCCTCATCGACCCAGAGATTCGAGCCATCTACGATGCTCTTGTCACAACCCACGCGGATAGCCCCGGCTATGAAAAATACAAACAAACGTGGTTTGAACTCGTTTGGGCCACCGGCGACCATGAAGGCGAAACTCTAATGAACCTAAAGGCCCTGCCGTCGGGACAGACGACGCTGAGACGTGCGGACTTCCTCGCCGCCCTCGTGGCTCTGGTCCCTCCCGAAATCGTTCATTTTGGCAAACGGTTGAACCAACTGACGGAAACAACAGACGGGGTCCGGCTACATTTTGGAGATGGCACAACCGCTATGGCTGATGTAGTGGTAGGATGTGATGGGATAAAATCCAAGGTCAAGGAATCAATGCTACCCGAGGAATCTGCTGCCAAACAGCCTCGGTATAGTGGCATGTATGCCTACCGGGCTGTCTTTGACATGGATGAGATGGTGACGGCCGTCGGTGATCAACGCGCCCGCGTATCCACCATGTATCTCGGCAAAGGCGCCTATGCAATCTCCTACCCCATCATGCGTGCCAAAAAGGTGAACTTTGGCCTCTACATCCTGAGTGAGACCTGGGATCATGAGGCATGGGTTCGACCAGCAAGTAAAGGAAACATGCAACGAGATGCCCAGGGTATGGGAAGATATGTGCAGGCTCTCGTCGAGGTACGTCAGTGATATTCTTCGAGGGAGCGTACACTAACTGCCACCAGCGCATGCCTGACCCTTCGCAATGGGCCATCTTCGAGCATCCCCATTTGTCGACGTACACTAAATCTCGCGTGGCCATCCTGGGTGACGCAGCTCATGCCTCTACGCCACATCAAGGCGCAGGCGCCGGTCAGGCCATCGAGGATGCCCACGTCCTGGCAGAGCTCTTGAGCGACCCGCGAGTAAATAGCGTAGATGCCGTCGTGGAAGCTTTCAGAGCTTACGATCAAGTCCGTCGACCGCGAAGTCAGCATGTGGTCACTACGAGTAAGGAAAATGCCTATCTATTGTGCTTGTGCTTGGACGGTGTGGGGGATGATGGAAATAAGCTACGAGAGACATTTCAACAACGATTGCGATGGCTTTGGGATTTGGATGTACAGGAGCAGGCCGAACAAGCAAGGAGGAAGATGTTTACTGAGTGTAAGCTTTAGCACGATTTGATACCCAATGACTATCATCTAGTTCTATATTTGTCAACTGTACTTTTTCCTTCGTTCTAGCTCACCATAACTATTATTTCCTTGTCCTCAACTGTTCCAGCTGCCTTGGCCTGAGGATTATATATTGAGCAAAAGAAATTATCGGCATAATACGAAACACGCATGGGCGACCTTGGCATGAGGCAGGGTACATTCATCAATGTGATAATAAACATTATTAAATGCATGAGGATACCAGTGATAACACTGACAGAACAAGGTTCAACTACGGCCCATCAACCATCGACCTCAGCCTACCCCCTTTTGAACATTCGCCGAATAGCATCCACGAGCTCCGTCCGACCACGATACATGCGGTCCGGAGATGGAGAATTTCCAGATTCTTTCGCAATAATTCCTCCCGGCAAGAAACTCCGAGTCATCTCTACAAACGGACCGACCGAAGCTTCAGGTAGAAATTGGCCGAAAAACGCGGGCAAATCTGCTTTTTCAACGGGTTTGAGTTCGACTGCATGTCCGGCCACGTCTTGGAATGCTTTCTGTACGTCCTTCGCCGTGTACTCTCGTGGACCGTGGACTTCCACGATATATGGACTCTTGGGGTGATCCATGGCCATTATATAGGTGGCGCATGCCTTTCCGATATCGGCAACGGAAACCTTGCAAAGTAATAGTTTCAGCCAGTAATCCTATAGCTATTCATTTCTCGTCACCAGAATGCCAATCTTACCATTGGAATTTCATAATCCAGCGGAGTGATGACCGAGGACAGATGTGGATGATTTGACTGGACGGTTTCCATGGCTGGCGCCCAGTTTTCCATAAAGTAGGCACATCGCATGAAAACCACCTCGGGCACAACGTCCTTGAGAATCTCTTCCGCAATGTGATTCGTCATGATTTCTCCCTATGTGAGTTTATTAATTTCTGTTCGTATAAACCACGACGTGGAGGCAGACGCACTGTTCCCTCTGGCTGTTCGGCCCCCATGCTAGAAAGGAGCACCAAGCGTTTCACCGTCCCGGCCTTCTGGATCGCTGCGCGAGTATTTTCCGAGGCCTGGCGGGCCCACTGCATCATGTCGGTGCCATCATAGCGCGGCGGTGTGATGGCAAAGACGGTATCAGCGTTTCCTAGGTCTAGGCTGGCTGCATTGCTGAGATCACCTGCGACCGCATGGAAGCTACCATGTGCGACAAACTCAGCGGGGGCTTTGGCAGGGTCGCGGTAGATGGCGCGCACGTGGACTGGAGCAGTTAACTGGTCTGCTTCCAGAAGAGCCCGGATGGTCTCTTGAGCTGATTTGGGTGAGGCTGGAAGAACAGCAACAAGCATTTTGTCGGGAGTAGCTACGTGCTCTATAGCAGCTGAGCTGTATGGGGGTAGTGGTGCGTTGTTCGGTGCTTCATGAGATCGACGGCGTCAGTCGAGGTGGAGATTGAGTCGGGAGCGGGGAAGACGCTGTTCCTTGGTTGAACCCGAACTCTTTTCTTGAACTCTACTTTCAGGGCCATCGATAAGGCCTTTTGGATATTGGATATGGAGTTCTTAGGAACTGTTGAGGCTGGGGATCGTGGATTGCCAACGTTTGGAATCTCAACCGGCGAACATTAGGGGTGCCACACCATGGCGCTATTCTAGTGCAAGGCCGGGGGGTGCTATACAAACAAAGAAACACACGGCCGGCTACTTTAGATTTGATGATCGCGTCTATACTAGTGCCGTTCATTGGTGGGTTCGACTAGTAATTCCATCCATCTCGTTGAGGGACTGAATAAGTGGGTCACTTGGTGCCCGTCTCATGCCGGAAATGCACGCCTGAGCGGACGGTAAGTACCAGTCAGTCTCAGCCTCACATCTACACTAGTATCACTGGTGAAATGATATATATAGGGACTTAGGGGACGTCCTCCCTAAAATCCATTCACCCAGTCAGTCCTTCTTATTCCTGCCAGCAGTCGTGACTGTTTGGAGATTCACTGACTTAAGAGGTGCCTTCTCTACTTGTCTTCACAAGGTCCAGAGCCCGCCTACGCCTATAAGAAGGGCTCTGACCTGGATGCTTTCTTGTTTAAGATCATCAAGCCATCAGAATAGTCGAAACGAACCAACATTATCAGAATATGGAGAGTCCATGGACCCAGCTGGGTGCCTTTGGTACCTTGGCCGGAGTGCTGCTGGCCTTTATCACTCGCTCGGGCGAAATCGAGAAACACCTGTTGAGGTTGTTTGGCATCTTCACTCTTGCCCACATTGCCCTGATTTCCCTAGCTCCAGCCTTTTTAGGCAACACCTCAAGCACATCTGAAATCTTTCTTCGAGTATTGTTCCTAGATGGCGCGCTGTTCACCGGCCTGTTCGGGAATATCGTCGTGTACCGGCTTTTCTTCCACCGACTGCGCAATGTGCCGGGCCCGGTCGCAGCCCGTGTTTCACGTCACTACGCCGCCTACCATACCGTCAAGGATGCGCAGATGCACTATACTATCCAGCGTCTGCACCAGCAGTATGGTGATGTCGTTCGCATTGGTAATATGGACCTTCTCCAGCCTTGCTTCCGGTCCTCTCAACTGACACTCTCAACAGGTCCCCGCGAGATTTCCGTTTGTCGCGCCTCGGCCATTCAAGCCATCTATGGCCCTCCTAGCCGATGTATTAAGGGACCCTGGTACGATCAGATCACTCATGAGAACGACAAGAAGACATTGTTTGCCATCCGCGACCTCAAGGTGCACAGCAAGCGGCGTCGACAGTGGGATCAAGCAGCTAAAGGTGCGATTCTGACCAAACTTCTTCCTTCCGATCGCGGTACCACCAGACCACTGACAGAAGTGTGTGGCACCAGGTATCCAATGCTATCATAATTTCGTGCAGGAACAAAGCAAGATCCTGATAAAGAAGATCCGGGAGCACCAAGGGCGGCCCATGGACGTTACTAACTGGATCAACTGTTACGCATTCGATGTCATGGGACACGTTGTCCTGGGAGCGGAGCTGGGGATGCTGAAGACCGGAAAGAGGATCCCTGAGCTGCAAATTATCGACGAGGGCCAGCGATACGTTGCAGTGGCCGGCACTATGCCGTGGATCCCGCCACTCTTGATGAGGATTCCCGGTCTGTCCGCGACCCTTAATCCGTTCCGGCATCGCTGTCATGAATTGTTTGATACGAGGCGTGCGGTATATCTTCCATCCGCTTCTGTAAAAATATCACCGTCTGGCTGTGCTAATGTATCTCTAGTCTAGAGCCAAGTTGAGTGAGCCTAAAGACATCATTAGCTGGTTGATTCAAGGCCAGGAGAATGGTGATCCTGGCGCGCCACCCACGGAGCAAGCAATCAAGGATGATGCCTGGTTCATCATGTCGGCTGGCAGGTAAGGTTGGCCCTGAGCCCCAAGCTTGGTAGGATCCAGACGAATCGAAATATGCTGACGAAATATGATCGGATATTCTAGCGACACGACGGCATCTGCGTTGATCAATACGATCTATTACCTCGCGACGCATCCGGGCGCGCAGGTCCAGCTCCAGCGCGAGCTCGATGAGAGAGTGCCCGAGGGTATAGAGGACTTGTCATATGAAAAGGTGAAGGATCTCCCGTACCTGACAGCGGTAATCAACGAGACACTGCGGTTGAAGCCATCGGTGCTGGATGGTCTGGTGCGCGTCACTCCGCCGCAGGGACTGCAGGTGGACAAGGATCTCCACTTACCGGGGGATGTGATAGTGTCCGTGCCGACCTTTGCCATCCAACGTGATGAGCGCTATTGGGAGGATGCTGACCAGTTTCGTCCTGAACGGTGGGCGTCAATCAAAAATCTGGCCGATGTGCCATTCATTCCATTTTCACGAGGTGAGTCTGTCAACCCATATCTTCAGTGATTTCGTCGACTAAGATGTGTCTCTGCATAGGCTCGTATGACTGCGTAGGTAAGAGTATTGCCTGGATGGAGATGCGCATGGCTTTGGCGATGATCGTTGGAGAATATCACATCCAGCTAGCCGATGAGCAGCGGGCCTTTGATGGCAAGGAACTGGATAACTTCGCCATGTCTGTGCCAACCTTGTGGGCCACCTTCCGACCCCGTCGGCCCTCATCTTAGTCCATCAGTTGGTAGTTGTTTAAATTGGAAATTTTGTCATCAATCAGTCTTTTGTAAGCACATGAAGAGAATTTTGTTTATATGCCGGAATGATTCCGCGGTGGTGGGGAACCCGAGATGACGTGCCAGACTTGCATCTCAATGCAACTATCCCCGACCTTCCCCTCCTTCCCCTCGGTCGCATTCACCACCATCGCTTTATCTTCATTTTCTTTGGCTTAAATCTCACTAAGGGCATCTCACCTCATCCTTCCAACATGACTCTCAAGCTATACGGCTTCGTTCACTCCACCTGCACCCGTCGCGTGCGCACTGCCCTGGCCGAGAAAGGGCTGGACGTTGAAATCGTTCCAATCGACCTGGCCAAGGGCGAGCAGAGGACCTCCTCTTATCTGAACGATCTCCAGCCCTTTGGCAAGGTACCTGTGCTACAGGATACAGAAACAGGCATTCAGATCTACGGTTGGTGTTGCGATAAACGATCTCGAGACATACCCTAATAACACTACTTCCGTGAACAGAGAGTCGAGCCATCACTCAATACATCGCTACCAAGTACCGCGGCCAGGGCACTGACTTGGCCCCTCCTGAATCGGATCTAAAGGCCTTTGCCTATTACCAGCAGGTACATATTCCTATTCCTCAAATGCATCGGAAGTCCTGAGACGCTAATGAAGGTAATGGGATAGGCCCTCTCCATCGAACAATCCTACTTCGACCCCCTCGCTTCTCAGATCGCCTACGAAAAGGTCTTCAAGGCCCGCAAAGGTCACGGAGAGACCGACGAAGCCCGTGTCCAATCCCTCTTTTCCCAGCTCGAACTCACTCTCGAAGGTTACGAGCGGGTCCTGTCCAAGCAGCCTTATCTGGCCGGGCAGCAACTCACA